GATCGCCATGAGTTTTCAAAGGTAATGGCCAATGGCTATGCAATCACATCCGCCAACTCCTTTAGCACTCTCAGATGCAGCGCATCCGGCCCCATGGACTTGTGCTCGTCCAGCTTTTCTAAATAGTCCCGAACCACTTCTTTCTTCACAGAGGGCTGGTCACCTCCTCCCCATGCTGTGCTGTCCAGTGCAACAGTCTGGGAGCTGACCTTATTTGTGAAGACAGAGGCCAAAAAAGCATTGAGTACATTAGCTTTTTCCACATCCTCTGTCACTAGGTTGCCTCCCTCGTTCAGTAAGGGGCCCACACTTTCCTTGACTTTCTTCTTTGCTAACATACCTGAAGAAACCCTTCTTGTTACTCTTAACATCTCTTGCAAGCTGCAACTCCAGGTGTGATTTGGCCTTCCTGATTTCACTCCTGCATCCCCGAGCAATATTTTTATATTCTTCCCTGGTCATTTGTCCAGTCTTCCACTTCTTGTAAGCTTCTTTTTTGTGTTTAAGATCAGCAAGGATTTCACTGTTGAGCCAAGCTGGTCGCCTACCATATTTGCTATTCTTTCTACACATCGGGATGGTTTGTCCCTGTAACCTTAATAAGGATTCTTTAAAATACAGCCAGCTCTCCTGGACTCCTTTCCCCCTCGTGTTATTCTCCCAGGGGATCCTTCCAATCAGTTCCCTGAGGGAGTCAAAAGTCTGCTTTTCTGAAGTCCAGGGTCTGTATTCTGCTGCTCTCCTTTCTTCCCTGTGTCGGGATCCTGAACTCGACCATCTCATGGTCACTGCCTCCCAGGTTCCCATCCACTTTTGCTTCCCCTACTAATTCTTCCCGGTTTGTGAGCAGCAGGTCAAGAAGAGCTCTGCCTCGAGTTGGTTCCTCCAGCACTAGTACCAGGAAATTGTCCCCTACACTTCCCAAAAACTTCCTGGATTGTCTGTGCACCGCTGTATTGCTCTCCCAGCAGATATCAGGCTGATTGAAGTCTCCCATAAGAACCAGGGCCTGCGATCTAGTAACTTCCGTTAGTTAGAATCATAGAATATCAGGGTTGGAAGGGACCTCTGGAGGTCATCTAGTCCAACCCCCTGCTCAAAGCAGGACCAATTCCTAATTTTTGCCCCAGGTCCCTAAATGATCCCCTCAAGGATTGAACTCACAACCCTGGGTTTAGCAGGCCAATGCTCAAACCACTGAGCTATCCCTCCCCCCAAGAAGAAAGCCTTGCCCACCTCATCCCCCTGGTCCGGTAGTCTATAGCAGACTCCCACCACGACATCACCCTTGTTGCTCACACTTCTAAACTTAATCCAGAGACACTCAGGTTTTTCTGCAGTTTCAAACCAGAGCTCTGAGCAGTCATACTGCTCTCTTACATACAATGCAACTCCCCCACCTTTTCTGCCTTGCCTGTCCTTCCTGAACAGTTTATATCCATCCATGACAGTACTCCAGTCATGTGAGTTATCCCACCAAGTCTCTGTTATTCCAGTCACATCATAATTCCTTGACTGTGCCAGGACTTCCAGTTCTCCCTGCTTGTTTCCCAGGCTTCTTGCATTTGTGTATAGGCACTTGAGATAACTTGCTGTTCGTCCTGCTTTCTTAGTATGAGGCAGGAGCCCTCCCCTTTCGCGCTCTCCTGCTCGTGCTTCCTCCCAGTATCCCACTTCCCCACTTACCTCAGGGCTTTGGTCTCCTTCCCCCAGTGAACCTAGTTTAAAGCCCTCCTCACTAGGTTAGCCAGCCTGCTTGCGAAGATGCTCTTCCCTCTCTTTGTTAGGTGGAGCCCGTCTCTGCCTAGCACTCCTCCTTCTTGGAACACCATCCCATGCTCAAAGAATCCAAAGCCTTCTCTCTGACACCACCTGCGAAGCCATTTGTTGACTTCCACGATTCGACGGTCCCTACCCCGGCCTTTTCCTTCCACGGGGAGGATGGACGAAAACACCACTTGCGCCTCAAACTCCTTTATCCTTCTTCCCAGAGCCACGTAGTCCACAGTGATCCACCCAAGGTCATTCTTGGCAGTATCATCGGTGCCCACATGGATAAGCAGGAAGGGGTAGCGATTCAAGGGCTTGATGAGTCTTGGCAGTCTCTCCGTCACACTGTGAATCCTAGCTCCTGGCAAGCAGCAGACTTCTCGGTTTTCCCGGTCGGGGCGGCAGATAGATGACTCATTCCCCCTGAGGAGAGAGTCCCCGACCACCACCCCCCGCCTCCTTCTCTTGGGATCGGTGGTCATGGAACCGCCAACCCTAGGACAGTGCATCTCATGCCTTCCAATCGGCAGAGTCTCCTTCTGTTCCCTTTCCTCAGATGTATCATCTAGTCCACTCTCCGCGTTAGTGCCTGTGGAGAGAACATGAAAGCGGTTGCTTACCTGTATCTGCGCTACTGGTACATGGACGCTCCCCTTTCTTCTTCTGGAGGTCACATGCTGCCAAATTTCTTCACCATCCTCCTGTCCCCACAGTGCAGCCTGCTCTGAATCTTCAGAACATTGTGTCCGTAGAAGCATATCCTGACGTCTGTCCAGGAAATCTTCAGTTTCTCTTTTGCAACGCAGGGTCAATACTTGTTTCTCCAGACCTTGAACCGTCTCTTCCAATATGGAGACCAGCTTGCACTTTATACAGACTTTGTATAACAAAACAAAGGTCAGGCAGCCCCGCCGCCCGGCTGGAGCCAGCCACGCACCGTGCGGCACGGAGCACCGGATCCGGCCAGGCTCTGCAGCTGCCCCAGGAGCTCACCGCCCCACACCCGGAGCATTGTGCTGGCAGCTGCGGGGGAGGGGCTGGGGACCAGCCTCCTGGGCCAGGAGCTCAGGGGCTGGGTAGGAGGGTCCCGCGGGCCGTAGTTTGCCCACCTCTGAGCTATCATGACATCAACATCACTTTTAGTGGAGAGTTGTTAGCAGACTCATGGTCTCCTCTTAGCAGAACTGGAAAATTTTGTCAGCACCCGTATACCATAAATTAAACGGGATACTTGTTTTCCTTTGCACCTTATTCATGGCTGTAGTATCTCACAAACTGCTTCTTGAGGAGGTACACTTAGTTTCCCTCCTGCTTCCTTACCCCTAAGTACTTTGGAGAGGGAGCTCTCTGGGACTGTAAGGAATCTGGACTTTTCTTGAGAAGAAAAAGAAGATTTTACTTTTCCTGAAGATTTCCTTTCTTCTCACAGGAAGGCCCACAACAAATACTTGGGAATTCCTGCTTCCCAATCCTATGCAAAGACCACTAGACCATTCCTAACTACAAAACAGCTACACAACTAGGAATGTTTGTTGTTAATATTTATTTGTATCGTGGGAGCATTTAGGAGCCATAGACTGGGGCTTCATGGCGCTTAGGTGCTCAGCAAACGCAGAGCAGAAAGATTCCAGTCTAACCTACATTCATACAAGTGCTTTGTTACCACCTTAAATCTTTTTTTTTTTTTTAAATCACTTGTACGTTGTTCCAGCTGATTACTCACAGAATGGCAGGCCATTTATCCTGTGCAGCACACATTCGTGAAGACAGTGGTCCTTGCAACAATGTTGTGTCTGGGTGGAAAAGGCTTTTCCACACAAGAGATCCACTTCTGTAGATCTAAGGAGCAAGCATTTGTGAACTGTGTCTCTGAACTGTCTGTAAAGGACGCTGTTTCCTCAGTTACACATAGTAGAATGTGTTTTCCTTTCTTTAAAAAACAAACAAAACCCTAGGAAATAACATTAAGGCTGCAAATTCAAGCACTCAAAAGTTAGGAAATGCCAGAATCAAGCATGCCTGTAAAACTTTGATGTGGCCCCCTTCTGTGTATGCATTATGATACAGTCTTTAATTTATATACATACATACTGTTTTTTCCACAGAATCCCTGCCTCCTTCGGCATACAGGGTGAACTGTGCTCCGTGAATGAATCCGGGTTGTGTATCGAATGAGGCGGTGGTCTGTAGTCCTCTTGTCTCATTCACTGTAGAAATTAGAAGGTGTGTAATGTCAGAGGCCGGAGACTGGAAGAAGAGCCAGAATGATCTTGCGGCTAAGTCATTTGAGCTCAGTTCTGCCACAGACTTCCAATCCATCAAGCAGTTTGCTGCAGAATTAGTCTGTGTTACACCACAGAGTCCCAGTGTACCAGACATAGACTTGTGCAAACTGATAGACCAAATAATGCGCCATGATGGGTCCTTTCCCTTGGAAGTTATTAAATTGCTTTTGTAACTTCAGTGGTGCATTGGGTATGAAGTTGCCTGTGTCCTCTGCATGAAGTTGATGACACAGGCTTGGTATTTTGTCTCCTACATCTTGTGCAAGAATGATTAGCTCTAAACATTGGTCACAAAAATCATATACTTGTCTATTGAGTGTTTTCACAAAATCTTTTCCTTTTCAGCTGCTTTCCACGAATGCAGTTATTGCTCTCCATTGGGATTGCAGTTGCTTTGATCTCTGTGCCTATAACTTGATACAACTGTGGGATTTTTTTTAAAGAGCATTCCCCAGTTGATGTCGGCCATTTCAGAATCTAGGCACCATCTTAATGCTTTTTGCTTTTTTTCTTGCTGTTCTGGTAAAGGTAAAGGCTATGGACAAAATTTGCTTCTGATAGTAGGTTTAGAAGAGCTCGATAGGGATCTGCATTGGAAGGAGGGTCTAGTAGTCAAATCTTTATCAGACATAATTTATATCAATCAGTCAGGGGGACCACTTTCTTCAGCACATACCTTGAGCTGTAACCTGTCTATGATCATGATAGTGTGCTTTTTCAAGTCTCCCTTGAAAGAATTAAATAGCTTGTTGCCATAGCTTAAAAGGCACCTAGTTAATAATGGCCATCTGATTTCCTTCCCTCCCCAAAAAAGAAAAGATTGTGTTCCTGGAATTAGACTGATGAGCACCATAGAGCAATAGGAGATAGTACAGTAATTTGAGTGCAGGGGAAGGTGCATTGCATGAGGTTTTGTGTAATAATGTTAAATTTTTTCCCCTTTAGATAACTTTTGCAACAGGATGGCTGAGCCACGTCAGGATTTCAATATGATGGAAGACCATTCGATGAGCCAAGCTAAGCAGATCCCGTCAGGTGAGCCTTACCAGATGGGGGTAGTCATGGGAGAAAGGGAGGACCTTCCCCCACAGGTAGCTATTTTCTCTCCAGGAGAATGAGGATGACACAAGTGGGAGAGCTCAGTACAAGGAGACTGGGGTGAGGTTGCCCATAGTGTTTACGCCTGGGAATGTATGTGGTTCAATGAAAGGTTAGTCCAAAGTCTAGGAAAAGGGGACTGTTTTGTGAATTACTTAAGTGCCGAGACATCATCGTGCAGTAAATGAGCTTCTTTGTCTTCTGGGAGATAAACATAAGATACATTCAGATACTTTATAGCTAAAACCGAAGTTTGGGGTTTGGGCTTGGTGACGGAATCACTGCGTGAGATCCTATCACCTGTTACGCCAGAGGCCAGACTTGATCATCATCATCCCCATTTGCCTTGAGTTCTCTTTCCCATTCAGAGGTAAGTTTCAATAGAACAAAAAACACTTGAGTCTGCAGAGCGTGTGAAGTCTGTAAAGGCTGTAGAATCTAGCTGCGCATAGAAAAAGATAAAAGCTGCTTAGGAATTAAAAGGAGGTGAAACAGGCTTTTCCCACATCTGCTATAGAAGGGACCGGGTGATTGATTTTGTTTTTTAAAGGTAGATTAATGGTTTCTTTAATAGACTGAGATACAGGACTGAGATTTCCCATCCCTCCATGTATCACCTCAAATCCTCCCTAGTGTACTAGTTCTTTTTGTTCATACTTAAGACTCATGTCCATGGATGTGTAGATGAGCTACCTCCTGTATGTCACTGGCTTCCTTTTACCTCCTCTGAACATGGTTATAAAACCTTTCCCCCTTTACAGGATTCAGAAAATTAAAAAGTCACTAGGGCAAATCTCTCAAACCCACATCTACCCCGTTTATGCATTATGGCAGCTATCTTTTCATCTGTTGGTTGCTGGAAGGGTTCAAGAATCTCTGGATAATAACTTAGATATTGGGACAGTGGCATTTGGGGCGGTGGGGGACAATGAGGAATGGAACGTTGATCATTCTAAGTGAGCTGGCAGGAATGCCGACGGTGCACTCTGAGCATTTGGGTTGGTCTGTTGCAGATAGAGGTGGACGAGCTGGTTTAAGTTTAAAAACAAGAATCTCCTTGCCCCTGAAAGTGAACTCTGACCCATTCTGCAGGTGAGAAATGAGTTCACTGGCTTTCCTTCCCAGATGATGTCCTCAACCCATGGCCCATCATCAAGTGGGCCCCACCTTTACCTTCAAGAGACCCCACACCAACCGCAGCTTGGTGGTGATCGTTGCCATTATAATTGAATGGTCAGTGGGGCCTAGTAAAGGGGGTGCCTGAGATGCCAGGCCCCACTTTTGCCCTTACAGAAGGGGAGGAAGGTTTTAGACTTGTTCTGTCTCTGCCTCTATTCCCTCCGCTCTCCAAAGAAACTACTCTGCTTACCAGAGGGGAAGAGGGAGGGGGCTTCTGCTGGCATGTAAACATGTGAGAAGGTGGAGGTTGGGGTGGGAAGGGAAGGGAAGGCCTGGTCACACCGAGCCTCTGTTTCTCGTGTGTGTGTGTGAGCGAGTGACTGGAGTCCTCTTTCGGGGCAAGACTGGCCCTGGTAGAAGCTTTGGCTATTTTAATGCGCCTCATTGACAAAAGTGCACTCTCCTGCCCCTCCAGTCTCTAGGCTGAAGCTGGCCCCTCATTTAGAGAGTGGAACTTATGACTTTCTGCCCTTTTGATTTGAGCTGCTGTGGCGAGAGAACCATTTTACAGTGGCTTTCATTGGGCTAAAGGGCATAATCCCCATGTGTGTGCAAGGGATCAGATAGAGCTTTTATCAGAGCCGTTTAAACTAGTAACTCTCGTTGTCGTCTTGTGAAGAGCAGTTTCCCCATTGCGTAGTGAGCGGGGCATTCTCTGAATGCTCTACTTCATCTCTCTGGGGAGGAGGATGTTAAGAGGAAAACATTGCAAAGCCGAGAGACGTATTTTACAAATAAAGCACTTGGCTTGCGTTGAAGTCCAGGGTTCTGGGACGTCACCTAAGCAAGTGCTAGTGGCTGGTCTGGATGTTGTAGGGTGCTGTTCCCAGGGGCCTCTGTTCATGTGTTGGAAATTGGCACGTATTTCTGATGTTAGTAGCATGCATGTGTATGGCGTCCTTTATCAGTGTATCTCGGAGGGCTTTACAGACATTAGGTGATGAATCCTCACCCCCTACTGTGAAATGAGTATTCTCTTTCATATGTGGGGAGACTGACGTACAGGGAGGATAAATGGCAGGCACACACCTCGGAGGTCACACGGTGAGTCATGATAGGAGGAGAATCCTCAATCCTGAATACCAGCCCCCCTGCTCTAACCACTAATCCCTACTCTCCCATCTCGACCTAGGAATAGCCCTCGACTGTCAGGCTTCCGCCTCTCTGCTCTAGCCACTTGTGCCTCCCTGTGTGTTTTTATGAACGTTCACTGAGGGAAGGATGGACTACAGAACGTGTCAGATACAGTGGATGTCTGACCTCACCAAAAATCAGATCCAGAGAGGATTGTCCCTGCCCTCTAGGCATGCACATACCCAATAACAACCAGTGGGTTTTTCTTCTTTTCTCACAGCCTAATTTGCTGTCTCTGTTCCTTCGCTTTGCCCACCCCAACCCTCCTGCTTCTCCCCTACTGCCTGATCCTTGAAGTAGATGGGCTCATCTCTTTCCCTTGTCCTACCCCCTCCAACCTACTGCCTGGCCTGTGTCTCCTTTTCCCTGCCCCCCGTCATGTCTCTAATACACAGATTCTCCCTAATTCCCCTGGAAGTGTTTGTTGCTTTCCTAGTGACTGCAGTTGTAATGATGCAGCAGCATGCATGTGCATTCTGTATTCACGAGTCAGCTCAATTGATGATGATAACATAGCGCCGCACAATGCTCCCCAAAGGTTCTGCCAGCAGACAGCTTCCTTCTCTTGGGTAGCGAGCCAGGACAACTGAGGGAAAAGCTGGGAATGTGGAGAAGTGGGGAAGTTTTCTACAAAAGAGCTCCTCTCACCCTGTGTTTTAGGTCTACATTTTCAAGATGTCTTTCCCCACATATTTAACAATCCAGCTCAGAAACCTGTGTAGTCATAAGGACTGATAGTACTCCATTAAAGTGGAGCAACATATTTCTGTCTTGTATCTGCCTCCCGTGCAGTTTGCATCAGGCAAATGGGTTCCCTCTGTTATGGACAGAGCCTTTGGCATGTTCCAAGGACTGTTCTCCCTTCCAGGCCCCTCAAGGTTGTCCCTCTTATCCAGTCAAATCAGCAACCTTCTGTCAGTGCCATAGTTTAAATTCTCATGCACCAAAGAGTCCAAGAGACTTTGCTTGTGTTAGCTTGAATCATTCTTCGTAAATCAATTTCTCCAGTTCTCGTTATTTTATTTTGCTGGAATTCCTTGCAAAGAGCATCCTTGTACTTTTTGCTCTAACAGTCTGATAGCTGACTTCTTGGAACCAAGGCCCAACATAATAATCCATGTGGAGCACTGAGGAGTTCCATGCAAGTGCTTTCCCTTTTTGCATTGGTTTAAAAAACATGAATAACAGAAGAAAATAAACTATCAATTCAACAATCTGCTCTAAGAGAGAGCCTATACTGCACTAGAAACATCAAAGTGAACTTTACAGTGACTCACTCAGATTGATGTAATCCGACATCTGTGGTCTCCAAGGAAAGTTTTATTTTATTTTATTTTATTTATTTACTGACTGTACTTTTTTTCTTACTGTGCTTTGCTGTTTCTAGATGTGCTCTGCATTGGATTGGTTGCTCAGCAGATTTTGCTTTTGGCTTTTTTTGGTGCTATCACTGAATCCGTAACTGGCGCTTTAACACATTGTGAACATCTTATTGTAATTGCCAGCTACAGCCATCCAGCTTTTCAGATAAGGATGGGTGAGGTTAACGTAAGAGCCCGCTAGACGTAACCAAGGACCTGTTCTGAGTGCTCAATGTATGTTTTTTCCAGGCTATCCCCTGCAGATACCGGTTGATGATGGATCAGATGAACCCATTTCCGAGACCTCTGATGCTAAGAGCACTCCAACTATGGAAGGTGGGAGCTCTTCGTCATACTGCTTTTAAACCATAATGGCTGGTGCTGTTTCTAAGCATTGTTTAGAGATGCACCAGACCGTTTTTTGAAGGGCGTTCCTGAAGAGGCGTGGCTGTCTTGTGTCTCTGTGCTGCCAGATAAATGCTCTTTGTTAGTTTGGTATTCACGAAGGAGAATTGCCCACACAGACACTCCTGGAGGATCAATTCCAGTTCCATTTCCTCCTTCAAGGATTGCACTCTCATACCAGTGTGCCTATTGATGACTGCTGAGTGTAGCCCATCCTGAAAGGGTAATTTCCTCCAGCGACTTGTGTCTGTAACTCCCCATTAATGTTAATGGGCACTAGCCAGCCTTCAGAAGCCATTATTAAACCACTCACAAGGCAACACAGATTCTAAAGTAGACATGCAGACTCCAAAAAAATCATTAGGAAAAATGTCTGAGCCTCCTGGTTGCCTTTCCCTGATAAACAACCCTGTAGCCTGCCAGGAAGAGTTAGATTTACATCAAACCAATGAGTGTTCTCCGTTTCCAATAGATATTTACACAGAAATGTCAAGAATCGGACAAGAAACCAAGCAGTATTCCAAGCTGTCACACATCAGCTGGGTGTCTAGGCATTCAGTCCAAATCACCTCTCAGGCTAACAAAACCTGGGTTATTTCGGGGGTGTTCATATTAGAACTTTTGGTTGCAAGATGTGTCTCCACTACTCCCAGTGGGAGTTTGGTGCCAAAATACGTTTAAAAATTTGGCCCACAGTCTTTAGTATCCTACAGACATTTAAAGATTGCAGTATCAATGGTGGTGGTGAAGTCTGCAGAGATCTTTCAACTTGAAATTCTGTTTATGGGAGGCTGCTTGGTCGAGTTATTAGCATGGGACCTGGCTTCTAATTCTGACTCTACCAGTGACTTTAGCAAATTACGTAACCTACCTCTGCCTTAGTTTCCTATCTGTAAAATGGGATAATATACTTTAAAAGGTGGGCATAGATCTTTGAGGTCCTTGGATGGGAGGTGCTATACAAAAGCGCAAAGTATTATTCATTACGTAAGTTCCCTGCAGTTTATAGAGATTATTACTACTTATTTTTTTACTAGACCTTGACTGCAGAGAGTGCCATTTCAGATTTTTGTATGGGGGGAGCAACTTTAACCGTGATTTCTGTGCCTACGTAGGCACTTGAAAACTCTAGTTTTTTGGCAGATAAGTTAACAATTAGCTGACAGGAGCCCTGTACCTAATTCCTTTATGAAAGAAAGAAAATGAAATAAATAGACCTATTCAGCTCTAATAACATGTTCTGACATTTTGTGGCAAGTTACTTAAGGGACACTGGTTAGGTTTAAAATGGTAATGTGTATTCTTACTTTATTACTAACTCTGTGGAGAGAGAGAGAGACTCCGTCAGGACTTCTGGGTTCTATCCCAGCTCTGGGAGGAGAGCAGGGTCTAGTGGATTACAGCGGGGAGCATTTACACCTGGGTTCTATATAAGAATATCAGAATGGCCACACTGGGTCAGACCAAAGGTCCATCTAGCCCAGTGTCCTGTCTTCCGACAGTGGCCAATGCGAGGTGCTTCAGAGGGAATGAACAGACCAGGGAATCATCAAGTTGCCCTGTTGCCCACTCCCAGCTTCTGACAAAGAGAGGCAAGGGACATGCAGAACATGGTGTTGGATCCCTGCCCACCCTGGCTAATAGCCATTGCTGGACCTATCCGCCATGAACTTACCTAGTTCTTATTGGAACCCTGTTATAGTTTTGGCCTTCACGACATTCCCTGGCAAAAAGTTCCATATGGTGACTGAAGAAATAATTTTTTTTGTTTTAAATCTGCTGCCTGTTAATTTCATTCGGTGACCTCAAGTTCTTGTATTATGAGAGAGGAGTAAATAACATTTCCTTATTCAATTTTTACGCACCATTCCTGATTTTATAGACCTCTATCATATCCCCCCTTAGTCTCTTTTCCAAGCTGAAAAGTCTGTCTTTTTAATCTCTCCTTATACAGAAGGTGTTCCATACCCCTAATCATTTCTGTTCCCCTTCTCTGTACCTTTTCCAAATCCAATATATCTTTTCTGAGATGGGGTGACCACATCTGCACAAACTATTCAATATGTTGGCGTACCGTGGATTTGTATAGAGGCAATATGATGTTTTTCTCTTATTTTCTATCCCTTTCCTAATGATTCCCAATATTCTGTTAGCTTTTTTAATTGCCACTGCACATGGAGCAGATGTTTTCAGAGAACTAGCCACAATGACTCCACGATCTTTCTTGATGGGTTCAGCTAATTTAGATCCCATCATTTTGTACATATAGTTGGGAGGATATTTTGCCAAGTGCGTTACTTTGCATTTATCAGCATTGAATTTCTTCTGCCATTGTAAAAAGAAAAGGAGGACTTGTGGCACCTTAGAGACTAGCCAATTTATTTGAGCATAAGCTTTCGTGAGCTACAGCTCACTTCATCTGCCACTGTGTTACCCAGTTTTGTGAGGTCCCTTTGTAACTCTTCACAGTCTGCTTTTGACTTAATGACAAATTTCAGAGTAGCAGCCGTGTTAGTCTGTATCCATAAAAAGAAAAGGAGTACTTGTGGCACCTTAGGGACTAATAAATTTATTTGAGCATAAGCTTTCGGGAGCTACAGCTCACTTCATTGGATGCATACCGATGAAGTGAGATGTAGCTCACGAAAGTTTATGCTCTAATAAATTTGTTAGTCTCTAAGGTGCCACAAGTCATCCTTTTCGTTTGACTGAACTATCTTGAGTAATTTTGTATCATCTGTAAATTTTGCCACCCCACTGTGTACCCCTTTTTCCAGATCATTTATGAATATGTTGAACAGCACTGGCCTCAGTACAGACCCTTGAGGGACCCCACGCTTTACCTTTCTCCATTCTCACCTTTTATTCTAACCCTTTGTTTCCGAAGATCTTTTAGCTGAAGTGCGTGGCAGTACTTTCAGGATCATCTAATGATCCCTAATTTACTTTAATGACACGCCTTTTGTTACCTTAATCACCCTGCCTCTGTTTATAAACAAGCTCCCTGCCTGAAAGGCTGTGCTGCTCCCAGCTTCCGAACTCATCACATATCACACTTGGGCTGCTGCAGTTAAGAGCTCTGTCTGGGGCTAGGGTGAGTAGACCTCCCCTAGGAAACTCGGGGCGGGAGGGGCGTTAGAGCCCTCCCCTGTCCGCGTAAATGGTGCCCCTGTTGTTTAACCTGGACATTAGCAATCCCATCATGCATACTCGTGAAGGGCAAGAGTTTGCACTAAAGTACTTGGCCAGAATATTCCCCTTATCCTCCTATGTGGTGCCCTCCATCCCAGAAGTAGCTGCAGTTCACTGGTGTGTTTGCTCCTTTGTACACATTCCAGGCAATACAATTTGGTGTCTGTCAGAATGACCGCCAATGGTGAAATGTAAAATAAAATAGATACATGTGAAATAAAGCCTAATAGGCTGCAGTGGCAGGATGCCCGAGTCGGGTGGATAGTGTGACTCCTGAGTGTATGATGTTGCCACATTTTTTACAGAGAACCTAATCTAGAAATGTTCTAGAGATGTACTAATATTTGTAATTGGTGGTATTTCTGTTCCTCTGCTTGTAATGCCTGGCTACCATGCATGCATCTGTCACAAGCCTTGGAAGGAGAGGAAAATACTAATTTTCTTTAGTTTCTGAGTTTTAACTAACAGCAGCTTTATTCTGAACTGGGCTGTTGTACTTTTAAATGCTGATGTCTAGTGACCTGCCAGAGCTGTACTCCATTGGAAAGGAGAACTGCCAGCACTCCATTGCGATAAAACTCTCATTCCCAGCCTACGTGGTTCAAGAGACTGGCCCGTAAAATTCGAGCTGGTCCGGGACTGGATATTGCTGTCCTGTGCATCAGGACAGTGTTGTCATAAGGAGGCAAACCTCATTTGGTGGGGGAGAAAGAGTCGCCAGAGGTTTGCTGTGTGAGGAAAGTCCCAGCAGGGATGAGTTAGTGGGCACTGTGCAGCTGAGGTGGTTAATGAAAGATGCACGTATGTTATAATAAACATCCTGACTGTGGGCTGTTGTCACCAGCTGAGCTCTGAGCATCACTTCTGCAGGCAGCATTGCTGAATGTGCCAACCAGGCATTCTCGCCATCCTGCTCTGAGCATATTTGAAAAAGACAGTGCTGATAGGCAGACTGTTTTGTTTTTTGGATGGGTAAGTAATACATGGAGGCATGCAGCTTGTGTGACAAAGGAGGTGATGTACAGTGTGTGCATGCACTGTGCTTGCCCTTTTGTTTCCCATGACAAGTATCGACTTCCATTCTGCTCAGCCGATAGGAAGGAAACCTGGTGAGCACGGAGGATGGTTTCCCTTCTGTGATACATCCTTCAGTGCTTTTTTATTTTTAAAGCACTGACATCTGAAGGGGTTTTGTTTCAGTCCGGCTGTGTGAAAGCTGCTTTGTTTTTCAGATGCCACGGCCCCGTTAGTGGAGGAGAGAGCACATGAGGATCGGATTGCAGCTCGGCAGCACGAGGAGATACCCGAGGGAACCACAGGTGAGGCCTCTGCACGCCTTCTGGTGAACGAGGAAGGAGTTTCGAAATGTGACTGGCAGAGTTGGCAATTTCCCGGGAAAAACTAGGTTAGGGCCGGGGACTGGTAAATACCGGTTTAAACCAGGAAACTGGGAAAACGATTGCATCGGTGTCCAGCAAGTTCAGCAAGCGTAGAACAAATCTTTTCAAATACTGGATACAGCTGTTCCAAACTGAATAATCTATCCACTGTTTCAAAGTTGGTCTTCTGCTACAGAATGCTGCCTGGTCAAATGGACCTGGACTGGTAGGTGGCAACTGCATGGTTCTGATTGCTTAATGCTTCAAGCCTACAACTCTGCATTATTATCACTCTCATGTAATCAAATGTTTTAGATGTTTGTTTATACAATATTGAAAACTGAAATGAGTCCTAACATGTATAACTCCGTTGAGAAAATAGCCAACCAAAATAGACATTCTGATGTTCAGTATTTATGATGACATATATTGATATTACGACCAGTGCAGTTTTTCTTTTTATTTGTACAGCCCTAAATTCATCTCCTATCTACCACTGTATGTGATCACAATTTGAATATGTAACTAAAACTCAGCATAATGTGGTGTGCATTGGTGAAAGAGTTTTTAAAATAGAAAATGCTTTAAACTGAGACTAACTAGTTTTTCACAGGGCACTAAAAACCAGGGTTTTACCTGGTAAAAAAACTCTGTTAAATACCATGCCATCCCCGATGGCTGGACAGTCTTTCTGGATGCTTATAGAGCAGGAACGGGCATTGGAGTTACAGCTTAGTAGTAAAAGTACAAACATCTTATAGGCTTGGGTAGGTTCCAGTAAGCACACACAGGTTTGCTGCTTTATCTTCTCCTACTGGAAAATCTGAACTGATCAGGTCTGTCTCTTGTTCTCATCCTGCAGAGCAGCAGGATCTTTTCTCCTCTGCTGGCTCAACAGCATCATCCTCTTTTGTGTGGCACACCCATGAGTTCTGAGGGAACTAATGGATGAAGTGGCTGAGCTGGTAACAAAAGGATGCAGTTTCTCATTTAATCGGTAACTATACCTGAGAGTAGCCCCTGAAGGCACTAGGTTTGATCCTGGGAATTGCAGACTAGTGAGCTTTACTTTGGTACCAGGTAAACTGGTTTGAAAGGTGATTAAAAATAGAAATAAAATTTATAAAAAACACAGGAGAGAAGCAACCCAGCATGGCTGTTGTAGCAGAAAAGCATGCCACTCTAGTCTACTAGAATTCTCTGAATGTCGGCAAAATAATAGATGGATATAGTTTACTTCAGTGGTTCTCAAACTCTTGTACTGGTGACTCCTTTCACATAGCAAGCCTCTGAGTGTGACCACCCCCCCCTTATAAATTAAAAACATTTTTTAATATAGTTAATACCATTATAAATGCTGGATGCAAAGCAGGGTTTGGGGTGGAGGCTGACAACTCGCGACCCCCAGTTTGAGAACCCCTGGTTTACTTGGACTATCGAAATGCCTTTGTCTAAGGTCCTGTCTGCAGGCTTGACATGGGATATGAGGTTAAAGTACTGTCATGCGTCCGAAATTGGTGAAGAGGCCAAAAAAAAAAAAAGCAATAAGTGGTTAGTTTTCAACATTGTAGAAGCTTAACGGGGGTGGTGGTGTGCCCCCAGCTGTACATTAGGACTGATTGTGTAATATATTAACCATCGGGGAAAGGGGTGAGTAGTGAGCAGGCAAAATTTTAAAAGGGGCAAAATTAAGTAGGTCAGTCAAGACTGAAAGAAGACTGAGCTAGTCAAGTTTAGTGACTGGGCATCATGGAATGACAAATGGAATTCAGCACTGATAAATGCAAGGCAGTGCACATCCGAAAGCATAGTTCAAACTGTCCGTTGATGTTGCTGGGTTCTAAGCTAACGGTAGCTCTTCAGGAAACAGACCTAGGCATCATTCTGGGCATCATAAACCTCTGCGCAGCATGCAGCAGCCGGGCAAAAGGTAGACAAGATGTTGTTTTTTTGAGTATTTGTCCACATGGATCCCACTCTAGGTGCTCATACACTCCATGAATGAGAGATTGGATTCTTTTGGTCAGCCGTGTCCTTTGGGGCCACGGATGTGCCCTGCATGATAGAATCACAGGACTAGAAGGGACCTTGAGAGGTCATCTAGTCCAGTCCCATGCACTCATGGCAGGACTAAGTATTATCTACACCATTCCTGACAGGTGTTTGTCTAACCTGCTCTTAAAAATCTCCAATGATGGAGATTCCACAACCTCCCTAGACAATTTATTCCAGTGCTTGACCACCCTGATGGGAAATTTTTCCTAATGTCCAACCTAAACTGCGGCTTACTGCAATTTAAGCTCATTGCTTCTTGTCCTATCCTCAGAGATGAAGGAGATCAGTTTTTCCTCCCTCCTCCTTGTAACAACGTTTTATGTACTTGAAAACGGTTATCATGTCCCCTGTCTTCTTCTCCAGGCTAAACAAGCCCAATTTTTTCAATCTTCCCTCATAGGTCATGTTTTCTAGAACTTTAATAGTTTTTGTTGCTCTTCTCTGGACTTTTTCCAGTTTGTTCACATCTTTCCTGAAATGTGGCGCTCAGAACTGGACGCAGTGCTCCAGTTGAGGCCTAATCAGTGCGGAGTAGAGTAGAAAAATTACTTCTCGTGTCTTGCTTACAACATTCTTCCTAATACATCCCAGAATGTTTGCTTTTTTTGCAACAGTGTTACGCTGTTGACTCATACTTAGCTTGTGATCCACTGTGACCCCAGAGCCCTTTCTGCAATACTCCTTCCTAGACATTCATTTCCCATTTTGCGTATGTGCATCTGATTGTTCCTTCCTAAGTGGAGTACTTTGCGTTTGTACTTATTGAATTTCATCCAGTTTACTTCAGAGCATTTCTGATGCTGTACCCTGCCTCCCCCAAGGGTCCCCAACCACCTCTCTGTTTCTTTCTATTGCCTGGGGTAGTGAGAGGACACTTAACAGTGTCTGCCCGTTTACCCCATTGCTCTCAGCTTTTAGATTTGGGATGAGCATTGGGTTAGTGTTAGAATTAGTCTGAGCTTCGTTATAGTTAGCCCGTTGACAATAATAAAGAATTAGGTATTTTTGTGGATGATAACATCCACCCTTGGGACTGAAAAAGGGATATAAATTCTCATGCTAACCTTGGTAAGGCCATTCCGTAATTGCCCACAGCAGTTTCCTGCACTTGTCTCTGAAGTATCTGGTACCGGTCTATGTCATCCAAGATACCTCTGATGTAGTAGGGCAGTCCCTCAGCTGCAGTTAAAAGGTAGCTGCCTTCAGGTACATTATGGTACTGTTTGTAATGCATTCACACTGGTGGACAGGATCAGTAAGGAAGCAAATTTGTTTCTCGTGGCAGACATTTAAATTTAACTTTTGTAATTTTCCCCCCCCTTTATTTAACTGTGAATCAGCTGAGGAAGCAGGTGTGGGAGCTACTCCTAACCTTGAGGATCAAGCTGCAGAAGATGGTGCTCAAGGTCAGTGGAATATTTGCTGCTGGGAAATAGTAAAATCCAATTGGGACCCAAAACAGAGAGAGCAGTTGCCAGTTGTTTGGGATTTTTCTTCTGCAAGGCTTCCCTTCTTTGCTATACACCCAACTATCTAGTTCTCCTTGCCACTGCCTCTCTCTAGCCAGGAATGGTCAAGATGCTTTAAGTATCCCCCCTACTTTTTCATTTTAGGGGGACACCACCACTTTTCATCCATTGCCCTTCTTCCCTGGAAGGTCACAACCTGAATCCTTGTCCTCTGTCTGGAATAGCGGACGGTTGAGTATCCTCCAAGATATAGAAGGAGGAATCAACTTGCAAAATACACACAGAGAGGACAATATGGGTCAGCCAACGGGAGATGCTCATTATCCTCAAACTAGTCTCATTATGTACTTTGACCGATTCAGAGTAGTCTCCTCCAGCCTCCTTTACACAGAACACAACAAAACTAGCTACTGTGCTGTGTGTGTACGTACCGCATAACTGGGCATCTGCTTAACCGAGTTGAAAAATTACTCCTTTAATAGGGGGAGCTGCTAGCTCACAGGAGTCAGGCTGGAAAGGGTGATTTTGACTATGCTGACTTCAGACATAACTGAAAACTTCAGGGTGGGATTTTCAAAAGCATCCAGAGCGAGGCTAGTGCTCAGAATGTTTTTGAAGATTCCTCCCCAGTCTAATGAAACGGCGAGTGCAGAAAGCTGAATATGCTGAAGATGGTTTTCATGCTCACACTCTCCATCTTGTGCCATTTACATGATGCTTGGTTTTTCAAGCTGAGTAAATTCCATTTTGCAAGATATTTTTCTTGGTGGCATATACATGAAATGAATTTCTTCATCTGTTTGGTGTACATCCTTCCTGCTGCCTGCCTGCTGCTACTGTCAAAATTGCACACAACTTGTCTGGCTGAGAGAAGTACTTTCAAAGTTAGTGATGTTTAAAAAGTACATGTTTTTTTTTTCTGTATCTCTTCAACTTGGTTATTCTTATCCTACTCCCTAGCAGAAGTTTGCCCATAATTGTATCACAGGATCATCATGCAAGTTTTTGTGATTGGCAGTTCTTATGTGCAAGTGGACAAGGCTTAGAATAGCAGAGGGTTCTGTAGGTGTAGCTTGAGGTCATTAGCAGAGATGTGATGGAAGCGTTGCATATCTGCCCATTCTGTCCAGCTCTGGCCACTTCTCTCTTCTCACCAGATGTTTAAACTTCCCCCCCGTACTGAGTACCAGGTTTCGGCGCAGTAAATTGTTACTTCTCTAAAAATGGGGAATGATGCTTTAAAAGGGGCACTTCCATTTTATGATCCATTTTCCTCTGGGTCAGATATAATTGTGGTGAGTGCTGCATGCCTGTGGCCAGGTATAAATCATAATTAGTGACCTTGGTTTTGTTTTGCTGCGGACTTTGAAAACTGGCTCTTCAGCATGAAGAGGGAAGAGTAGTGAAGTGAGTCTCAAGTTTCTGTGGGAGGGGCAGCCTTTTAAATCTTCAGTTTTTTAACCGGAACATTTTAGATGTTACAGACTCCTTTGATCACGTGTTGCACGCTGTAGTTAGAACAACAAAGGCATTTTGGAAATGTCGCTAACCAATGTAGTGGGCACGTCTCTACTTTTGTCGTCCTTTCGGTATGTTCCGTTCACCTGCAGTGCGAGAGTGAATGAGCGCGGCTGGTTAGCCTGCTAGCATGTGTGGAATGCCCGCCAGCTGCCAATTGGTATCCAATTTTGGTCTGTCTTGGATCATGAATTTGAGGACTCTGCAGTGATTTCACTTAAGCATTGAGTTCTCTTAGAACTGTGTTGATAAAAGGCTAATTTGGTTGTGATTTTTACTTATCCCATTTTTTTAAAATTTCTCTTTAGAATTTGTTTTTTATTGAAAGGATGCTTTTGATTTTAGTACAAAAGTTTCCCTAACCTAGGCTTTTTGATTTCGCAGGCAAAGTCATGAAAAGAGCTAGTGGCTGGAAGGCTGAAGCTAGACAAATTCAGAATAGAAATAAGTCACGCACTTTTAATTAACCACTGGAACAATTTACCTCAGGGTATGGTGGGTTTTCCATCACTCCAAGGTCTTTTCCTCCCGATCAGATGTCTTTCTAAAAGAGATGCTCTACCTCAACCAGAATGTATGGGCTTGATGCGTGAAATTCTCTGGCCTGTGTTCTGCAGGTGGTCAGACTCGGGGTAGATGATCATAAATGTTCCCTTCTGGCCTTAAAATCTTTGCATCTGTGACTGTGAGTTCTGTTTTGTAACGGTTATACTGTCAGCTGCTCCAGAACGGGTGTGCAATGTTATGGTACTAATTACTCCGCAGAGTGGGCGGAACATACAAAATCAGAGGTTTGCAGTTGCAGGCAGGTGTTCCTGTTGTGTGATCCATCCTCTCCCCCTACACCCTGTGCTGTGATGGCGTAGACAGGCTACTGAAATAAAAAAGAATTAGAATACTTGTACTGCTCTGTCAAGTTTGTGGTAAAGATGTAGCAGAAGAAGAAATGGTCTAGAGAAGTGAAGATGGTTAGAATTCTGGGTGGCTGAGATGTGTCCGCTAAAACTAGCCTTATTTAGTTTGGACAGTTGGAGGGGTTTTAAGTTTTGTGTGTAATCTTAGATTGGGGAGTATATCTATCCCTTTTCATTCTGGCCCACACTGTGTTGTGGTTACACAACACAATTATTGGCAGATTTATTTAGAACAAATGAAAGCAACGCTTCATTTGACACGTGGTCAACCCGTGGCATTCACTGGCACAAGAGCTAATGAATTGTCCAACACTGTAACTAAATAGAGGCTGGAAGTTGTGGCCTATAAAATTGTGCAGTTATTCCAGCGAAGAGAACGATCATCAAATGTTAGCCTTCATGGCATACTTTGGACCACCTCTGTGGACGGAGGCTGGGATGGAATCCATCCACCATGTACACAGAGCATAACTGATCACACACCAGCATATTACTGGGGTGCAGGAGGGAGGCTCCTTCCTCTGAGGCTTTCAGTATGGGAGACAGGATAAATTGGATAGATCTGGTATGGCAAATCCTGTGTTTGTTTTGGTACTCTACCTCTTCCCAGCAATGGAGCAAGCAGGCAGAGATGATGGATGATTCAATGTGTATCATCAAATCAAAGTGGAGTAGCTCTGATTTTAAGCCTATCTACAGGGACAAGATTCCTTTAAAGCAAAGAGAAACTGCAGAATTGAATTTTCCACTGCAAGTGGCAGTGTAGGACTCGATTGCTTTTATCCGTGTAGAATGGTTATAAAAAGTCTTTTAAGTCTCTTTTGTGTTGCAAGAATGACTTTCTATTGAAATACCTGTGCTAACTCTTTGCCACGCTTGACATCCTACCCTCCCTCTTCGCCCCCCAGAGGAGCTGAGCTCCCCAAGGCTATGGGAGAGTGTGGAACCTGGAGTTCAGGAGCCTGTGGCAAGTGAGATTCAGCCAGAAAAACAAGCAGGTGAGATTTCGGAGACTCTCGTCCCTCTGTGTGAAATGCAGACTGGAGAACAGGTAGCAGCAATGCCTGCCAGAGCTGAGGCCACGATACCAGTCCCCCCAGGCATGTATGAAGGCTTCAGAGCCTTTGAAGAAAGCCAGGAGGCTGTCTCCAGAACTGAGCCCTGGGACTGTGGTGGAAAAGAGGACGTTGGAGTGGGTAAGGCGTTGGCAGATGAAGCAGGTCACAGTGTGTGCACGGAAGAATTTGCCGCATCAGCAGTTTCCAAATCCTCTCAGAGTGCTCCAAGAGCTGAAATGTTCTGTCGTGAGAAACTTGCTGCTCAGTTTGAAAAGTGGTCCCCGGGGGTTGAGGATGCGGGGTATGAGCCAGTTGACAACTCCCTTATTAAAGACGGGCCATCTCCTTTATACAGCAAAGGTAAATTGAAAGAAGAGGCCGCTGGGCATGAAAAAGATGAAGACCGTGACATTGATGAAACTATTCAGCAGGATTCACCTTCCTCATTAGGACAGCAGGACTCTACAATGCTTGAAGCTGTGGAGGTGTATGCCTTTCCAGCAGAAGGCAGACCCAAAGATAATCTGGCAGAAATGTCTAGAGAGACTCCTGTTACTGAAAGCGAAGCTCATAAAGTGGGACAGATCCTAGATGAGAGACGACAGTGGTTGTCAGGGAAAGGGTCTGATGATGTCGCCAAGATGGAGCCCTCTGAAAGTATGTACCAAGTGGAAGTTGAAGCTAATGTAATTAGGGAGGGAGAAATCTCAGGTTCTCCACTCGACGCAACCAAGTTTCCCGATAGGTTAAAAAAGGACGTGGCAGATAGAAGTGTTTCCTTGCAACAGGAGACGGGGGGAATGGTGCAGGCCATGGAAACACAAGAGGCACCCAAAAAGAAACCTGCAACTCGCATGTCAGAGAAAAAAGTCAGTCGGGTTCCTCATTTAAAAGGTGTGTGTGTCATTTTCCTGCCCCACGCTTGTTTCTCCAGTGACTTGCTCGGGGCAAGGCTTCTAAAACCAGAACTGGCACCCCTTGAATCTTGCTGCTTGACAGTTGTCCATGGATGTTCCCTCTGAACAAATCCAGAGTGCTGATGCTGCTTTTCACCCTTGGTTTACTCCTGGCCTTTGATTCATTCGCATCACACTCACGCTTCAGTTGCACGTTCCCTTGCATGGACGCTGACATGCTCCCAGTTGTGCTTTTCTCCCTTTTCATTTCAGTGTCCTTGGATTTATCAAAGTTGCTATGTAGACTCTTCAATTTCATCCATCACTCTAAATATTTATAAAAGAGAAGAAGCGTTTGACTGAAACTTTTTCTGGTCATTACTGAAGTAGCGTTAGCACAGAGCAGGCTATGGTTTCAGAGCTGTCGCTAATAAAGTGTGCAGGGTCTCCCACTCGTATTGCTTTGTGTGTTCCCCGAGAGCCAGTCTTACATGTCGGCTTTTCTAAAGGTGAGGGAGGAGGAGCACAGTGGGCGAAACTTTGTCCTCAGTTTCCAAGCCCAGTACGGTGTGCACCCCAGACAATTCCAAAGAGATGGCTGAATTTTTGATGTATTATAAGAGAGACCTATGTGAGGGGAAGCCTGGCTGTTAGATACCTAAGAATGTTCGCTGAGAAACCTTGAGTCATTTAACTGCTCATCTGATAGCACTGTGGTCAGGTAGCTTTAACTTTAGATGTTCAAGTTCGTGCAACGGTGTTAGCTTAACTGGCCCGAGTAGGGGCCTAAAGTCATCCTGTTCCGGCACAAATGCCTTTGCTAGTACGCCAGGCACATTTTGTCTATATTCTCCTCACTAAGACCCGCAATCCTAAGGACACCTGTCTGTCCAATGGTGAAATGCGGGTTTTTCACTTAATGGTTTTAATAAGCAATCAGAATGGGATCTGTATGAAAATCAGTTCGCTAATTTACAAGCCTCCTTAGCATCCATGTTTTAGTGCACAGGTGTTAAAACACCAGGTGAATTCTTTGGGGCCATGCCAGCCGTAGACCTCCATAGAGTTCTGACACTCTTCTGCAGGAATCATTTGCCATTGGTACACAGGTTTGCTTGTCTGTACAGGTCCCGTGCCACTTTTGATGCCTACACACTGTCTTGGCACAACGAGCCCAGTCAGCGTGAATATTCAGCCTATAGTCTCTCCCTCACACGAGGCAGGAAATGGAGGATGGAGGCTCCCACCCTACCGACTGTACCATGGGGATCAGCAGCTGCTGTTAATGCTGTTAAACTTAATATGCAATCAGAAAAGCTTCATTCACACCTCATGACATTAGCAGAGGTTGCCATCACTAGTGCCAATAGTTTAATGGGTGGAAGCACACGTCCTTCCTCTCTTTGAAAGGACGTTGACTGCGTTTTCAGAGAGTTCGGGTTACAATATGCTTAAAGACAGGTTTCAGAGTAGCAGCCGTGTTAGTCTGTATTCACAAAAAGACAAGGAGGACTTGTGGCACCTTAGAGACTAACCAATTTATTTGAGCATAAGCTTTCGTGAGCTACAGAAATACAGAATGCATCCGATGAAGTGAGCTGTAGCTCACGAAAGCTTATGCTCAAATAAATTTGCTAGTCTCTAAGGTGCCACAAGTCCTCCTTTTCAGTATGCTTAAGGTTGCCAGCTTCTGATTTAGTAGCAGGAACAGAAAAGGGGCTGGGTATTTCCCTTTTCAGCCAGAAATACCTGGAGTTCTTATCTCTAACGCACAGCACAGCCTTCATTGCACAAGGCACCTTTGCTGTTTTAGGAAAGGGAAAGGCATGAGGCAAGTTATGGAAGTGGATAGTGGGGGAGGTTCAAGGCGACTGCTGGAGCTGTTTATAAATGACCTTGTACATTTCATAACCAGTCAGAATAAATTCCCAAAGTTTAGAGAAGATATAAGAGCTGTTTTAAATTAAGAAGAAATTTAGCTGCTGATGGAAAAAAGTGGGTTTAGTAGTTAGCATCCTAGAGTGTAGTTCACACGTTACTCATTCTATATATCTAATCTCTTTCTTTGCAATATTGCAATGTCTTGTAGTTTGTAGGTTAATGGGGGAAAATAATAGTGTAATGGCCCAAGAAACCCTGCGTGTTCATTATGAATCTAATTTAAATGGCTTTCATTTGGCTGATAAAGCCTCAAGGGATATTACAGGTTCTGAAACGGAATCCTAAGGAGTAATATCTGCCAGTAAGACAGAAAGTAGTACCTTGCGAGAGATGAAGAATACAAATGGATTTCAATAAAATTGCTTTTTGAAGTAATACATTGAAAAGTGATTTCGAAAAACAAGAAGCAGCAGTTCTGTGACTTAAGGTCTTCAGCACTTATCCTCCGTAGGTGTGAGGCATTCATGAGTTTTAGCCTTCAGACGTGATGCTTAAAACCTTATCTGCATTTGTTTTTAAGAGCAAAGGGACAGGCTTAAGCCTGAGAATGGAGCTGTTCAGAAAGTCACCACCAGAACAGTATGTCAATCTTCTTTTCAAGGATGGTCTGGTATAAAACTTGCGGCATGTTTTTGATGCTCCTATGCATCTCTAACGCATCATCTCCTATATTAAGGCTAATCTGTAACACAGCAAGAACACGCTTTAAAAAGAGGAAGTAATTTGATAAGGGCTGCTTTTTAATAGACTTAACTGAAATGAGAAGAAAAGAGAACGTTAATGCATGTTATGATAATGCAGGCATTATAAGCTATTTGGTATTTATTTAGTATCCCCAAGAAGAGGAACATAACTGTCTTTTATTTGCATTTTATCAGCTCGTATTGACAGTAAAGACAAAGATGGAACTGATACTGAAGAGAAAAAGCCTAAGGTAAGATGACAAATGTATGAAATATGATGTAAGCCTTCTGTGTGTGTGCTTGACTCCATCTAGACCCAGCTGCTTTTGACCTAAATCACACATTCGTTAAGAAACCTTGCCATTAATTACCAGTTTTCTTTTCTTTTAGTGTGTGTTTGTTTTTCCCCCTTCTCCTCTTTGGAACGTGCAGCCATTTTAAATCATGAACCTTGGAAGAATCGACTCATAACAAAATTGTGACTTTTTTAAAAAATTAACCTGTTGGGTTTTTTACTAATTCAAAGGAAACCCCAAGGTGCATGGCAGGAGTCCAAAGTGTGTAACTTTCCAAAAACTATTACTCTAAATAATTGGGTCCCAGTCCTGGAATCAGATCCATGCAGCTGCGAGGGTAAGCCTTTGTGAAATACAGTTGCAGATTTGGGGCTTCGGTTGGCGAGCCAGCAGTTCTGAACTTACATAACTGCCCGTTTTGGGAACAAAGAAAGAGCAAGGCTGGGAATTTGGTCTTAGCAACAGTTAAAAAATTGTCCATATCCGACAGAGTGTTGTGTTCTGAATTATACACGCAGTTTAATACTGGGAAATTCCATAAGACTGGAAGAGTGCTTATGTGCCGGTATTCAGAAAGTGCAAAATAGATGACCTGGGTAGGAGGCCAGTTAGCCTGACACCAGTCCCAGACTAAATAATGGAGAAGCTGATCCAGGATTAAATTAATGAAGAATTAAAGGATAGGAATATAGCTATTCAATGTGGTTTTATGGAAAGTAGGTCTTGTCAAACAAACCTGACTTCACTCTTCGAGGAGATAACAAATTTGGCTGATAAAGGTAATTGCACAGATGTAATATACTTAGACATTTGTAAGGCATTTGACTTAATACCACATGACATTCTGATTAAAAAATTAGCACTCTAGAATATCAATAAAGCACAGTTTAAACAGATTACTGGCGAAACTGGCAGATCTCAAAAAGTAGTGATCAGCAGGGAATCATCATCAAATGGAGTTGCTCTTTCCCCAGGGATTGGTACTAGGCCTGATGCTATTCGGCATGTTCATCAAATGATCTGTAAGTAAATATAACATCACTGTGGAATAAAATTGGTAGGTCAGAGATTGGCAGAATTGGTAAGTCATGATGACACGGCAGTCATACAGTGTGATCTGATCGCTTGGGAAGCTGGGCCTATTTAAACAAAAAGTGTTTTAATACAGCCAAGTACAAAGTTATACATCTAGAAGCAAGGAATGAGGGCAGTGTCTACCAAATTGAGGACTGTATCCTGGAAACCATGGCTTAGGGCTTGTCTACACAACGCAGCTTTTAGCGACACAGCCTTGTTGGTAAATGTCAGCGTGTGTAAATGCTCTTTGTCGGTACCTGGTCGGCACTTTTGCCAACAAAATACTTGCAGCCCCACGAGCGGCCTTAGCTTTTGTCGGCAAGAGAGCACTCCTGCCAACAAAACCGCGTTCAGGCTGCCACTTGCGTTGGCAAAACTTTTGTCTTTCGCGCGGGGGGGCTTTTTAAAGTACCTGTGAAAGACAAAAGTTTTGTCGACAACTTCGCAGTGTAGACATACCGTTTGAAAAGGATTTTAGAAGTCATAGTGGACAATGAACTCAACGTCATTGCTCAGTACGATGCAGTAGCAAAAAAAAAAAAAAACGCAAATGTGATCCTTGGATGGCTAAATGGGGGAGAGATGAGGAGGAGCAGGGAGGTGATTTTGCCAGTTATACTGTAGTGGTGAGACCGACGTCCCTTTGAGATTTGCCATCATGATGCAGACGATGAGACTAGAATATTACTCTATTTGGTGTCCATATTTTAAAAAAGGGATGTTGGAAAATTGGAGAAGATGCAAAGCAGAGACACAAATTATTTGAGGACTGGGGGAAATGCCTTACAGGGAGAGACTTAAAGAGCTCAATCTGATACCTTGTTTGAGCTTATCACAAAGGAGATTGAGCGATGGCTTGGTTACAGCATACAAATACCACCATGGGGAGAAAATACAGGCTACTAAAGCACTCTTCAATCTAGCAAAGAAAGGCACAACAAGAACCAATGGCTGGAAGCTGAAGCCAGGCAAACTAAATTGGAAATAGGGAATAAATTTTTAACAGTTGGGGGTGATTAAGCATTGGAACAAACTCCCCAGAGTAGGTCGTGTCTTCAGATCAAGGAACAGGGAACAGTCTGCTGCCTGCTCCAAACTCTTCTGTGTTCTCTGAATCTTAAGAACTAGGGAGCCAGGTTCCCAGGACGACTTGTTCTCAGTGGGACCTGCTGGGTGTTGAGCGCGTTAGAAAATCTGACCCTGTTGTGGGCACTGGGCCCTTTAGGAAATTCTGGTCATAGATCTACTAGCTTCTGCCAAATCAGCTTCTTTTTTTCAAATGTATCAAGAAATGTGACAGGGTGACTAATAAGCTTTAAGTGAGACTTCAGTCTGACAAGCCAGACGTCGTCGTGTGATGGAGAACTCCTGATCGCAGGCGCAAGTCTGTCTCTTGTGCCTTGGCGTATTGCACCTCTAACTCCTAGCCATTCATATTTGACTTTAGCCATCATCCCTTTTCAGTTTGTTTGTTCGCATGCTGATCTGTTTTTAATTTTATTTTTATTTTGTTTACTTGTGTGAAGACATCCACACCTTCCTCTGCCAAACCCCTGAAAGGTAGATCCTCCATTACCCCCCAACGACCCTCCTCTGTTAGTACAACCCCTTTGAAAAACCCCTCCAGTCCTGCTGAGTCCTCAGTACCAGCTTCCACTCCTAAACGAGTCTCTTCTATCACATCCCGACCTGCCAGTACAGGAACAAAAGAAACCAAGCCAAAGGTAAGGAAATTGGTGAAAAAGAAACCAAAGCTACCTTTAAAACACTATTAGTTGCCCATTCCTGACTGATTAATTCCTGCCCGTGCTGAGTTATATCAGCCTGTCTCTCCACGCTGCAGTATGTTCTGTGTGTGTAATGTCTCCTGCCTACTTCAAGTTACTTAACGGAGGAGGTAAATTGGACTGAAAATTCTCCCAACCAAGACTGTGAATAGCTTCAGTCAGGAATGGCCAGTCAACCATTCTGCTCATTTATGGGGTGGCTGGAGCACCTGGTGTTTACAGTGTTTATTAAAAAAACCCAAACTAAGTAGCGATGTTACCATGAAATCCTTTACTGTCCTTGGTTAGGGAGTGGCTTTAAGAGTAGCTCTTGTGGAAATTTTATAATTCGGTGGTATTCAGAGCAGTCGCATCTTTCTCATCTGCTCGGAGGCTCCCTTGGTTTGCATTCATTTTAATGCTGTTTTTTAAAACCTCTCCTCCTTGTGCAGAAGGGTTTTGTCTTGTATTTCAATTAGGCATTGAATTCTTTCACATTGCAACAACGTTGTGTTAGCATTTATGGGTGCGTTGACAGAGTCTTGGATATATCTCATATATATTGGAGTCAGATCTTCCATGCTACAAAATTATGCAGAACACACAATACACAGCCCTCTAACAGGGCTCTGGATCATTCTGTGTATATATAAAAAAATGACTCTTAAGAGTTTCCATTCATATAACTTGTTAGAACCTGAAGGAAGGGGGAGAATAGAAATTGTATGTCTTGAATAATAGGATGAGCTTCAGTGCTAAAGAATTTGGAGCTGACCAGTTCTGATCTCCAGCATGCAGGCATGCCTTGTTTCAGGGCTGGTGTACATTTTTTAAAAATGAAAATGTCACATTCACAGTTGGAAATAATGCTCAGCGCACTCTCTACCTGATAGAGAGAGAAACAAACAATAACATACTCCAGCTTTCTTCATTAAAAGCAAGAGCAGTGGTTTGAAATTGTTGAACTCTGACCAATAGCACTTCACCTTTCTTTTTCACACTTTCAGTGGAAGTTTTCATGCCCAGTCCTGCTCAGACAGGGAGTAGATGGTTTTGAACCCAATGTAGGAAGCTGCCTTGCAGGATGAAAGGGGTTAATCAACAATAAAGGAAATGGGGAAGGAGGAGATTTTATTCTGCTTTTGAATTTTTAAACACCAGTGACCAGCCTGAGCAAGCCTTTATGTCTGAATTGGCCAGCAGGTTAATTTTTCATAAACCTTTTAGCCCCCTAAAAGGGCTGTTGAATGAACATAAATGACAGTTGATCAGAAATGGGGAAAGGAAGCTTTTGTTACTGGTGAGGCAAGAGTTTGAGGAAGAGATGAAGGACATGGACTTACTTTTCGCCCAGACCTGCTAATTGGGAAGGGTAGCAAAGCATTTCATGGCACTGCATAACTGAAGTGAACAACTTGCATGGGAAGGTGGCATGGCAGCCATGTGCTTCCCTTTCAGTGTAGGTGCTACCTCAGGGCTTCCAGTCACTGGGGCTGGTGCAGCCGGCACATCATCATGGGGCAGCATGCTAAGGGGCGGTGACTCATTTACAACTAAAATGGCTGTACATGTGGAGGTCATCCTGGAAGTTGCTCATCCTACCCTCCTCACCTTGCGGCAGAGTCCTGGGATGGTGGGGGCAGGAGCCGAGGAGCTCTTTGCAAGCTCTCTGCTATCTGAGTGAAGAGAGAGTAAAAAATCTTGAGAATGTCCCTTCACTGGGCGGTTGGTTGGTTTTTTTTTTTCTCGTGGGTCTGCAAACCACATGGTAAACGTTTTGTCCCGATTCCGCCATCAGGGTCCAGAGATGAAAAGCGGAATGAAGATGGCTGCTCCCAGGTCTGCAGCACAGACTCAAAAAAGCCCAGCCAACGCTACCCGGATCCCGGCAAAAACGCCCACGACCCCCAAGACGCCTCCCAATGCTGGTAGGATGGAGTGTGTGCTGCATGCAGAAATCCCCAGTGGGCGTTCAGCACGTTTCCAGGGAGGCAGGAATCTTCTCTTCCCAGAAAACTCTGGGATTGCCCCTCCCTAAAATCACTGACAGGGTCAGACTTGTTGTGCACATCTATTTTTGTGCATAGTGTGTCACGAAGCAGCCTGTCTGTACTCAGCCTCCGTTCCTCTACTGCAGGAGAAATATTCTCCTTCCTGAGCTACTCTGCCATGTCGGGAGCCCAGACACATGGGGAGATGTGAGATGCAGAAAGATGAGTGTTAGATGTAACGTACTGTGCTTTCTGGGACATTGAGCAGTAGCAAAGTGGGGACGAATAAATCTTGTATTTCATCTAGCTCTTGAACAGTGTGGTGTCCCGTTCAGTGAGAAGAGGTTCCTTTTATACGGGTACAGTTAGGTAGGGTGGGTCTTCCTGTACTTCGGGTAATCCTGTAGACTAGCCCCTAGGGTTCATTCACTAGGGTTGGACAGATTAAGGAGCGTGGGTGTGGTAGCAGTGATCTGTATAACATCCACCACCGGTTTGTGTGTGTTGAGCTGTGAATGGAACTTAGCTATGAATAGTTTTTGTGTAATAAGCCTGGTCGGATACTGGTCTGTCTGCTTCCTTCATATAATCGTCTTGGTTTAGGATGACAACTGCACCTCCTTTATCCTCTGGTTAGTCCCTCTGGGAGTATAATTCATTGGATGCTCTCTGCTCGGATTTGGAAGATTTAAGCTGCTCCGGGATTTTTTACTACCATCTAGTTTTTCTTTTTTATTGATTGATAGAGCTTTCAAAAGGCCAGTCATTCATTCCTCCACAGGGCTGTATTTGGGGATAGAGGCATCTTTGTACGTCATTTTTATTTAGGATACGTTCTCCTAACCATATGGGTGATTAAGCCAGTGCTCTTGATGCTTTCTGGGCATTCTGCTCCAGAGGTCACAAATTACCTGAAAAGTGGTGTGTCCTGCTGAATATTTCTTCTGTTTATCCAGGCATGGATAAAACCTTTGTTAAAGTTTGAAGCGTAATTGATTTTACTTAAGTTTCTTTAACTTTCTTTCAGCTGGCAGGAAGGAGCAGAGAAAGCCACCTACCACAGCAGCAAAATCTGAGAAAGGTAAAATGTAAGGCTTTTTCCCCCCCTGTTCGATTTTGGAAACCATTTGAGCTGTTTTAAAAAATATTTTGCAATATCAGCGTTTTCCTTTTCCATATTTTTAAATTAAAAATATTTGCATCTGAATGTTTTTGTTTGTAACTTGTCAGGCACTGAGAGGTTAATTTCACAGCCCTGTGAGAAGCTAGTTTTTCATGATCTGTGTTCAGAAAACGAGCGTAATGTTGTGGGTTGGGAACGTGCTCTTATTCACCGTTCAATTGAAATTGAAGAAATGCAGGTACCCAGCACTGTTCCACTCCTGTTGCATGGAGCAAGTCAACAAAAAGTTTTGTTCTCCCGCCTGCTCCCACACTGTTCCTGAGTGAGTGAGATTGAGAGAAAGAGAGTCTGTGTCCTGATTAGTTCAAGAGGCAAATTAGGAGTCAGGTTACCTGGGTTTCATTCCATATAGATGTTGGTAGAATCATCGTGAATATTGCCTAAGAACGCTGGTTGGGTTTTGAGTGTGGGTCAGCTCGCACGTAAAGCTCCAAACAACCATTCTATAATTCCTGCCTCTGCTGTTCATGCTGGGTGGCCATGGGCAAGCTGCTCCCCTGCTGTGTGCCTCAGTTTCCCCATCTGTAAAATGGGGACAGTGCTGTCGACCTCCTTTGTAAAATGCTTTGAGATCTGCTGATGGAAAGGTGTACATAAGAGGAAGGCATTATTAGTAACTAAATGTTTGTAAAGTGCCCTGAAATCCTTAGATACAAATGCAGTTTTATGTATCTTCTTTCCCAACCTGTCTGATCCCCTGCGCTGTGCCTGTCCCCTGCTCCAGGACTCTCCTCTACAGAATCGTTACTCCCTTGCCTCGATTCACTGGTGTTTTTTTCTAGCTAGCGCTGCCCCCCCCACCCCCAATCTAGATACTTCCCATCCACAGTAGGGGGATGGTCAGTACCAATCGGAGCAACTTGTGAATGTTGACTCCGTGGGCATTCCGCATGTCGAATAGCAGGTGGGCATTCTTGGAGCCGATTGATCAATTCGTGCTTCCACCCTGCAGTTACATGTGCGTCTGCGAATTGCAGGTGAACCAGCGAAGTCTGGAGACAGAAGTGGTTACAGCAGCCCTGGCTCACCCGGGACCCCCGGCAGCCGTTCCCGCACGCCCTCCCTGCCAACTCCCCCGAACCGGGAGCCCAAGAAGGTGGCAGTGGTTCGCACACCACCGAAATCCCCTGCTTCTGCCAAGAGCCGCCTGCAGACTTCTACTGCCCCCATGCCTGATCTGAAAAATGTCAGGTCCAAGATTGGTTCCACTGAAAACCTGAAGCACCAGCCAGGAGGTGGAAAGGTAAATCCTAAATCTGCTTTCCAAGTGGATATCGGGCAGATATTGCATGAAGTTTTGGCTTACAGTGGAGAGCTCTCTCTCGATTTATAATAGAAGAGCAGCTTGCAGCCTCTCACGTTGAAGCAGCAGCTGTGGATGACAGTAGCTTGCCTAAATTCCAGCCAGTATCTGGTTTAGAATCTCATAAAGGGAATTGGGTGGTTATGCTGAAATTGCTTGTCTGGCTTAATGAGTCAAGGGAGGGGCGTGGGCTGCAGAGCCTGGGCTCCGGTCCAAGCTGCAGCCTCAAAGCGCTGTCTACACACCTTAGAGCACTAGCGTGAGCCCTAGTAGCCAGGCTTGGAGGCTCCCTCCTGCGGGCTGGGTAGCTGTACCTTTAGACACTTTTTGCACTCAGTATATCGATTTAAGCAATTTGTCCCTGGAGCACCCACGTTATCATCTGATCTGGGAAGGGAACCTGCTCACAAGCTCGGAATCAAGTCTTACGTGACTTTCCCTCCAGTAGTGTGCATGAAAATAGTTTCCTACTATCCTGTCTGAAGGCTCTGCTGTACTTTCCTTTAGGGACCAGGGGAAGCTAAGATGCTATCGAGTAATGGGCAATAGCTGATTTTAAAACACATCCCGATCAGCTGTTTTGTGGTGTGCAGAAGGCTCGCGGGGGAAAGGAGCGAGGGCACGGCAGCCTCAGGGGAGGGGGCGGGAAGGGGTGCAGTGGGAGCAGGGCCTGTGGCAGAGCCAGGCGTTGAGCGGTGAGCACCCCCGGGCACATTGGAAAATTGGCACCTGTAGCTCCAGCCCCCGAGTCGGTGCCTATACAGGGAGCCACATATTAACTTCTGAGAGCCGCATGTGGCTCCGAAGTCACAGGTTGGCCACCCCGAGCTAGAGGTTCCCTTGAGATCTCTCCAGACTGTATTCTCAGTATCCCCTTCCACCATCATGCCAACCTCCCGCGTGACACATAAGCCTCCAACCCCATGGCCAAATTCTACCTTCAGCCTTTGCACCTCGCTTCCACCAACCTCAGTGGTAGCTGGGTGTGCATCAGAGGGCAGAGCTTAGACTTGTGTCTGGAGGGGTAAAACAGCTGACGATGGAACACTGAAGGGGAGCAGTGGGAGGGAGTGTGAACATAAATGTCCGAGCTAAGGAGTTGATGGAAATACAAGTAATTAAAACAAAGATGATGAGCCTTCCCGGCTGCATGGCCCCTCTTATAGACTGAACTGTCTCCAGTTTAGAAGGGGAACCCCACAATGATGGGTGTTGTGTAGGTGTGTTGGGGGAAGGGCTATATTAAGACTGAGCTGCCAGTCAAACTAAAAACGGTTCTTTTAAATAACCTTTTGAAAACAAAAAACAATCGTTGACCTGGAGATAGAATCATCTTTAGGAACCAGTCAGCAAAGGAGTTTGTCATCTTCTGAGGGGTCTTGGTTTCACTAGAATTCCAGGCCGCCTACCTTCCGTCTACTTAGATTTCTTCGCATTGCTCTCAGGCTGTTGGATTGGGGTCCTGACCCATCCTGGGCAGATGATTGAGGGACTAGACACCACTGTACATCTCATCAACGTAGGGTAGTAAGAATCCCTTTTCCCCACTTCCGAGGGGTGAATGCACACTGGAGGGCGCTGCTGGCCAAAACCAGACTTGCTCTGTGTCTAACCGATGGTAGGTCCAATGGCAAGAGTTTGCATTTCTCTGAAAGATGGAGCACTATGTACCTCGCGTACTGTCCTCAGCAGCTGCTTGGGAACCATTTTGTGTGACTGTATAGGAGATTTGCTGAGTGACTGGGTAAATGTGTGACATCAGCATTTAGATATGACATTGGTATGTCACCTGAGTGGCTTTTGGCAGTATTTTAGGTAGTATTTTTTTAAAGGAAGCATTCTTTGTTGTAGCTGGTGATTATCAATTAAATAGTTAAGTTCTACTTTTTTATTACAATGTATTAAGTGGCTTTTGGAGTCAGTGCTGGTTTGTCATGCCAGCTAGAATTGCAGTCCTCCTTGACAATACCATTGATACCAACTGTTCATGCAGAGTACTCAGAGCAGAGCTGAAGCGCCATTCTGTAGACATTTCCCCGTTCTTCCAGTTGTACAAGCTGCTTTCCAACCATCTGCATTAGGACACGCAATAAACTGGAACTGGCGGACTTCAAAATTGCAATAGTCCAGTGGTTTCAAAAGTGAAAAGTCAATTTATAGTAAATTGATTAAACTCTATGCTTGTTTTAATAAGCCATTTCCTCTTTGAAGTCAGTTATCTAACCCTCCACCCTCATCCTAATGAGTAAACTTCTGTTTCCTTTTTTTACAGTAAGAATAAGAACAGCTGAACTTCAAGATAGTTTCTGCTATGTATGGGGGAAATGAGTGGTGGTCCTTTTGGGATCTTACTGCTATTAAGTATACTTGGCTTTTATGATCTCCTTAGTAGGATAAACGTAGCTACAGTGTTAGGAACAAATTGAAGAAGTTTGAGCTTTTGAAAGGCAGTGTAATCTAGTGGATGGAGCCCAGGGCTGGGAGTCAGAAGTGGAAAAGGTGTTGAATGACTGCTAAATGTTCCAGGTATTTTCCTTTATCCCTTGATTTCAATGGAATGTTAATGGATAACAGCCGAGTGCACTTGGAGGAAAGGTAGACAGCAGAAGGTTAAGGAGAAATGAATGTAAAGGGAGAGACAGCAACACCTAATTGAATTGGCTGTGTCTGACGTGTTGTGTGTTCGTTGGACTGTCTGTGCATGTGCACTTAATGACATGCTGTTGTTTTAAAAACCCATCCAAACTGATTTGTTTCCAGAATGACTAATCATACTAAGGCTAAAAAAAAATTCCCATAGGAGACTTCATCAGCCCCCACTTTCTACATACCCATCATCAGCCCTTTAAAAATGAAATGGAGAAAGGAACTCTGGGACACAGCCTTAATGGTAGCAGCAATAACTGGCTATAGTAGGCCAGAAGCTTTGCTGAAGTGTGCATCTGCCGTGTGACCAAGGAACAGATAACGCAGTCCACCTGCATTTGTGTTGATTTGTAACTCTTGCCCAGGTAGTGGAGTTAGTGAAGTGGGGATTTCTTCTGCTCTTCGCATGGTTACGTTGCTAAACAATAGCTTTCTCATAAAGTAAACTTTGGGCTTGTCTGCACGCAAAGTCGTACTGGCATGGTTAAAGCAGAACTCCTCCTCTAGTGTGGATGCAGTTACACTGGTATATAGGTGCTTTTCGATTCCTAGATTTCAAAGCCAGAAAATACCATTAGATCACCTAGTTTGACAGTCTTACGGGGAGGGGAATAAACCGTGGTGGTATAAGGTGCCTTTATCCCAGTAGAACTGTGTCTACATCGGGGGCTGCACTAGTATAACCGTAGCTGTAAGAACTCACATTCCAAATTAAAATGGTTATACTGGCATGAAATCTGTCTGTAGATAGGCCTCAGCTAGTGGCAGGCCAGGCCCTCTGAGCATAACCGCATGTAAGTCACCTGTAGATTTATAGTTTGTGTATGTGTGTATTTAGAAACAGTGTATAGCTGTAGATCTGAAATAGAGAGTCAAAGAGGCAAATCCTTTAGCCTCGTTTGTAACGGAGCTATTCTGGCCATTCTGTCTAGAATTTAAGACTTTATAAAGCGCAAAGACTTTGGTCTCCATTCCTTTATAGCTCTTTCCGTCTCAGATGTTTGAATCCCTCTGAACCCATGTGTGGGGTCTGACCGTGTTCCATATTTCTGGTTTGTGCTCTTAGCTGGCTGCGTCTGCCCCTTCCGGTCTCAGTCACGCGGCTCTGAGGGAAAGCGAGTCTACTATGCTCCATCTACCCCAATCTGGCAGGGTTTGGAGCGGGGCGGCCCGGGGGTTGCTTCAGGCCCATCTCTCCTCTCACCCCACCAGATTAGAGCTGGGGAATTTATGCAGAGCCAGCAGAGGTTTCATTTTCCTCACTTGGAATTCCAGAGCACTTTCCGACCCCCTCATTGCTTGGCGTGTTTCCCTCTGAATGTGCTGGAGGAAACGTGGACAGCTGGGGTGCGTGTTTTTCTAGCTTGTAAACTGGGGCTACCTATGCTGGAGACAAGCAATTGTATCTGAGCTCTAACCAGGCGCTGCTCACCTCTGCTGGCCTCTGTAGATCCAGTACCTTGAGCAGACAAAGCAGCATCGAACCAGCCCATTGGCACTGCTCTCTATACTGCGTGGTGCTCTGCCGTTTGCGTTGTTTAACACAGAGTTGATCTCTGGATGATGGTGGTGTTACTCATGCTCTTTTCTGGCTGTCGAAGGTGCAGATAATGAATAAGAAGCTGGATCTTAGCAACGTTCAATCCAAGTGTGGCTCAAAGGATAATATCAAACACAGCCCTGGAGGAGGCAGTGTGAGTACTTTCACACTTTCATGCACGATAAGAGAACTTATTAATAGTGGCGTGATTTTGTACACTAAACCTCCAATGCTATCTTCAGAGACCGCGCGTTCGGATAGCTATTGGTGATGCCCAATAAATTAACCCATTAACACGGAAGGCCTGGTTAGATAAACTCCGCCGAGTCTGGTACATGCATCGCATGAACAGATTTAATTGGAAATTCTTCAAGAAGAAACAGTGTTCCATAAGAAAATCTCCTGTTAATCCAGAGGTTTCTAGCTATCTGGAAGTATAAGTGCCTTATTGTCTGCAGAATGGAATCACTGAGTGTAAGAGGCAGATACTAATGCTCTCTGTGTGCCCGTCTTTGCTATGGACGGGTAGTTTAGGAAGTGCAGGCAAACTGAGGTCCCCTAGTTCTGTAAAGTGCCATCTACAATTGCAACACCATATAAAATGTGAAAGACCCAGTCACTGCCTGAGAGCTACGTTCAAACTCAGGCAGAGGATGATATATGGGTACCATGGTCCTTTTAAAGATCATGCATCTACTTGTTAGTGACAGGTTTCAGAGTAGCAGCCGTGTTAGTCTGTATCCGCAAAAAGAAAAGGACGACTTGTGGCACCTTAGAGACCAGCAAGTCTCTAAGGTGCCACAAGTCCTCCTTTTCTTTTTGTTAATGACAGTGTCTCCAGCGTGCTTTAGGCAGTGGCCTGAGAGGACTGATCAGAGTATTGCTGGACTCGCTGAGATGGACGTGGGGATTCTCCAATTTAAACTGTTAGCTTAAACCCCATATAGTGACACTGCAGCTTGGTAGGGGCCCACTAAGAGTTACAGTGGAGTCGCATCGTACGTGCATTTAACTTATGCGAATTCAACTATACGCGCTCGGCAAAAAATGAGGAACCATAACAATAATTCACGGCGGTGGAGTACTGTACAGGAGTTGACGGGAGAGCACTCGGGGGTCGATTTATCACGTCTAGACTAGAAGCGATCAATCGACCCCCTGCTGGATCGATCGCTGCCCGCTGATTGGGTGAGCATCTCGCCACACTGAGTGTGGTTTTTAGTGTTTAAAGATACATATTTTTTGTACAACATGGCCCCTAAATGCCAGCCAACTTCTTCATCTGGTGCTCAACCGAAGAAACAGCAATCTGTTCCAACGCTGGAGGAAAAACTGGCTGTGTTGGACTTACTGAGAGACGGTATGTCTCCAGTGCGGCATGTAAATATGGCCGCAACGAATCAAGCATCCGTGCTATCAAGATTCGAGAGAGAGAAATTCGTCAAGCTGTGGCATCAGGTGCTCCAATAACTGCTAAGGTGACGAGCCAGGTATGTGATAAGTCTTTTTAGTGAAGACTGAAAAGGCATTAAACTTATGGCTGGAAGACATGAACCATAAACGTGTGCCTGTCGATGGCAACACATTGCGAGGAAAGGCTCTTAGCCTCTACGCGCTGTTCAAACCTCCCGCCGAAGAGGGACAGCCTTCTGATGAGAAGGAATTCAAAGCCACCCAAGGTTGGCTTAACAGTTTTAGGAACCACTTCAACCTCAAAAACGTGCAGACTACTGGTGAAGCTGCATCCGCCAATGAAGAGGCAGCAAAAGCCTACCCCGAACAATTAAAGAAAATCCTAGAAGCAAAGGGCTATCTTCCGGAACCAGTTTTTAATGCTGACGAGACTGGGCTCTTCTGGAAAAAAACGCCTAACTGCACTTACACTTCGAAATCAGAAAGACAGGCCCTGGCTCCAAAGCAGCTAAAGTCCGTGTGACTGTGTTGTTTTGTGGCAATGCGGCTGGGCATTCAATAAAGCCGGGCTTGCTCTGCAGGGCTGCAAATCCCCGTGCCCTACAAGGCAAGAACAAAAGTCTCCTGCCTGTGTTCTGGCAATCAAATAAAAAGGCTTCGGTGACAGCAGCTTTCTTTCTGGATTGTTTCCACAAGTGTTTCATTCCGGAGGTCAAACGGTACCTCCAAGAGAAAGGACTTAACTTTAAAGTGTTGCTGATCGTAGACAATGCTCCTCGCCACCCTGCAGCACTCTGGTTTGCACGGAACGATGTTGACGTTGTCTTTCTCCCTTTTTTGGTTGTCTTTTGTTCTTCCATCTCTCTCTCTTTTTGACTACTCGCGATTTCCGCCTTACGCGCTGACTTTAGAACCTAACCCCCGCGTAAGATGCCACTCCACTGTATATACAGTTTGCAAATACACGCCCAGCCCAAAAATTTTACCTGTACTCGTATGGTACAGGAAAGAGGAACAAAAACTGCGTGTTGAGCGAGTTCACTAGCCGTTAAATCTGTAGGTGATCAGCTGTGTCCTCACACAGCAGTTGGAGTCAGGCTGCCTGTGTGATGAGTTATATGGCTCTGTGAGCCATGCTTTGGGCACTATTGTCTGTAAATATTATGAAATCTGTATAGTACAGGGTTAAAAGCACACAAATAACTAGATTTCATGGGGGGAGACCAGATTTCACAGTTCGTGACACGTTTTTCATGTCTGTGAATTTGGTAGGACCCTACTTATACTTATCAGCAGCCTCAGACCTTTTCACACCAATTGACTTCCTTTTGTTTTCTCCTCTCTGTGGTTCCCCTCCCTCTCCCAGGGGCTGGGCTGGCAGAAGGGCCTGTCCTTTCAGTGTTTGAAAATAAGCAGACAGTGCAACCACAATGTCAGATATTGATGTTACACGTTTATTTAGCGACCGGAAGAACTGGCTCATCAGAAGTCGTCGGCTTCCTTGAAGCAAATTTCCTGCCAACTTTGGAGAAAAAGGGATGGGGGTTGTGCTTTCTCCGCATAGGGCCCTCCCCCCCTGATTTTTGCCCGGGATACATGGTGCTGCTGTGTGTACTTTGTGAGAGGGCAGCAGTCTGTGCTCTTGACACTGATTCACTCTAATATGGGCAAGTGAATTCATCTTTCTTGCCACTCAGAACTCCGTTAGTTAATGGGAAATGATCTGTTGGTATAGCAACGTTCATCTTTTTGTAAGCGTTGGGCACAGCCACTCTAGGGTCTCATCTGGTAATCCAGTGTGATCTTCTTTTTCTTCTCCCCCAGAGAGGTGCATTAGGTGAGGGATGGTCTGAGCATTGCAGTGGGAGCCAGGAACTCCTGAGGTCTAATCTGGGCTCTGGCATGGATCCCCTCTGGCAGCTTGCTTTGTGCCTCTGTATCCTCCTCTTTGAAATAGGGTTGCCTTTTCTCTGCCTCCAGGAGGATTGTGAGGGTTAGGTGATTGATGTCTGTAAAAGGGTTGGGAGAAGGGCAGAGAATTTCTATTTATTATTTGTAAATGGCTTTGAAGATGGAAGGCGCTGTAGGCTTGAGAGCTCAACTATGATTGATTCAAGCTTGTATTCTTTTATTGGTGCCTACTTAATTTAAATGAAAGGTGCTGAAGACTTCTTGGGATGTGTGAGGGAGTTGCGGATACAGAGAGCAGCTGCTGAGGTTCTTTGAGTCATCCTTTTCTGACCTCTTGTGTCGATTACAAGAGCCATTTCCCTGTGTCTTTCTCCATTCCCAGCTCTCTCCTCTGTGATGCCAAACCCTAGGATTCTCTTTCTCCAGTTTTACTCTCCCTTGCATGTAGAATGTGCGCTCTGGTATCTACATGCAAGAACCGCATTAAAATAAAGGAAGGCTTGTTATCACTATGGTATTACCGTCAGATATTTGGCTTTTGAAGTAACTCTGAGGGATATGGGGACGTTTTCCCTTCTGTTTTCTGCTCATGATGTCACTAGGGTGTGTGTGTGTTGTTTGTTCATATGTGTGTATCCCTGGCATGCCTGGGTCTCCCAGGTCTTTCTAGAATATGATCCGTCATCAGATTGTTCAGTATGTTCTTTCTTACAACTATGAACCCAGATTTACTTTAACTGTCCCTGTTGTGTGTATTGCAAAACTTCTGTCTTGTTTAACCAGTTTAAATGTTTCCAAAGGCTGTTACCCTCAAAAAAAATTCCAGGCGCTCAGTGTCATGTGATGAGAAATCTTTGAACTTGCTGGTTTAAATGGCACCATTTAAATGAAATGATGAGATGTACACATTCAGACATGCTAAAAAATTTAAATGCATTGTAAGTAATACTGTATAATGTGGTTTTGTGTATTATCGCTTTGCGACTCGTGTAATTCCATTACAACATTTTTCAGAAACACATGTTTCAGTCACTTATTCTACACACATTGATCATTTCTGTTCTTTCAGTTTTTGTGGACATAAACTTTAAGTTTTACTTCAGAAAAGGTATTTATTTTTTTTACATTTCTCTTTAGTATATCTTTTTTTGGATGATCTGAATATGAAACTTAATTAAACATTCCACTTTTTTCTCTCACTTAAGCACTTTAAACTGCCTTTGCTTCCCCCCCCTTGGAGAACGGATGATAACCTTGTGCATGCTGACATGTTGATTTTAGATTGGCCGCTACACATACGCTTTAATGATTTCACAGTTTCTGGTGGCAAGTTCTTCTGTAATTGCTAGTGTATTAATCTTTCGGGGGTTAACTACATTTTGTCTCAAATCCAGATCAGGTCCCAGTGTATTCAGTGCCATCTTTATCCTTAGTGATGCTAAAAATGGGGTGACCTTTCCCTTTTTCTTTTTGATATGAACAGGTGCAAATTGTTTACAAGCCTGTAGACCTGAGCCATGTGACATCCAAATGTGGTTCCTTGGGCAACATTCATCATAAACCAGGTATTGTCTGACTTCGTAGTGCCTGAGATTTCCAGTGCTTTCTTTGTAACCTACATTTTAGACATACCGTGCCAAGTGAGAGCGATAAAGAGCAGAGAGGTGGGGCTGGGCTGACAATACAGGGACCAGACAGCAAGTGTGAAAAATTGATACGGGATGTGGGTAATAGGTGCCCTAAGACAAAGCCCCAAATATCTGGACTGTCCCTATAAAATCAGGACTTCTGGTCACCCTAGCCGAGGAAGAGAGACTTAGAATGGCTGGTGGGGCTCGGAACACTTAAGGGGCACCGTTTAACAATCGTTATTCTGATCATTCCCCATCCATCAGCATATCTTGGTGCCCAGATGTGACAGCTGTTAGCGTGCACAATAGATGCTTGACTCCAGAAACCTGGGTTTCATTCTCTGGCAGCACTTAGCCCCACTCTACTTTCTCTTCCAGGTGGTGGCCAGGTGGAGGTGAAATCGGAGAAACTGGACTTCAAAGAGAAGGTGCAATCGAAAATTGGGTCGTTAGATAACATTAGCCATGTCCCTGGAGGAGGGAATAAAAAGGTAAAAAGCTGTACTGTACCGAGTGTCCCTGCTGCCCTCTCTCAGGTGGGCATGCGCTCTGTGTACGTGTCGGAGAGAGTATAGGGGCAAGCACAGATCAATGTCTGGACACAGCAGCTACAACCGGGTTTATCCAATTCCTGTTTCATACAAGCGTCCTCTTCTCTGAATGCCGGGTGTGTTCTCTGCCACAGCTCCCCCGATTATCCAGCCTTCCCCGTTCTAGAAGCCACTACAGCATCTGGGGGGGAGAGGGCTGCAGTGCAGCTGAAATCAGTCACATCCGAGCGACCCTGTGCTGCTGTCCGCTTGGAGGCAGCTTGTCCAAGGTGTAAATTGTCGCCCAGGCGTAACTTGAAAGTCAGCAGGGCTGAAGCATGTGCTTAAATGCTGCTCTGTGTCGGGGCCTGATCCGTCCGTCTGACTCATTCGTGCTGCTGAGTAACGGGTTTGCTTTCATGCTGGTGACCTGGCAATGGCGCGTGTCGGCAGAGCTGCCTGCCGCGCTCAGGGCAACGCAGCCTTGCAGAGGAAAGTGGGACACAGCTGATCACTCTAGCGCTGTGCAGCTAAATACCAGGGCCCCAGCGAGACGTTCACAGCCTAGCAGAAATTGACCAATCACTTGCTTTTGGGGGCGATCGGGAGAAAACCATGAGAGGTGTGTGGCTTTAATGCAAGTGTGAGTGTTAACTTGCAAGCTACAGTCCGACTCGGCCCAACTTGTGTGGCTGAGATTTCCTCTCAATAGACATTATTCTCCTGTGTGTTTTTAAAAATCCCATGCCTACCCATACTATTGGTGTCTGTGATAACGAGCTACACATTACATGCACACTCTGTGCTCGGTCCATGTTTGTAGACTAATACACATCTAAGTATTTGGGGCATTTTGAGCTGTTAGGGGCCTTTCCTACCAGGGTGGGGTGGAGTGGGTTGTGTGTGTATTTACAGTTCTTTAGCCAATAGGCATTTTAATATAAACAAGACATGAATATGAACAAGTTATTTTAATTATATATTACATGAATATAGAATCGTAGGACTGGAAGGGACCTCGAGCGATCATCTTGTCCGGTCCCCTGCACTCATGGCAGGACTAAGTATTATCATTCTAGACCATCCCTGACGGGTGTTTGTCAAAACAAAACTATATGACCAAGTGATTTCTTTTTATTTGATTTCCTAGTTTTTCTGTTGTTCCCTAAATGTCAGTGTAATCGAATGGGCATACACCCTGGGCTTTCCTATTGTAAGATGTTACAGCTTATAGTTGGGTTTGCATCTTACTTGGTATTTTCAGCCTCAGCTGCAAAGTATGAAGCAGACTGTTGGATTTTGAAGCTGGCATTTCAGGAAAGCACTCTATTAAAGACTTGACTTTAATTAGAAAAGAGCAAGTTGGTTGACATTTCAGAGAGAAGATATTCTCTTCTGGCCTCAAACTTCAGTCTCCCAGCACAGGCTGAACAGCTGGGCTGTAAGTCTGCCGCAGTATTTGACATCTGAAAGTCAGGGAGGTGTGGGGGGGTGTGGTGTGCGCGCGTGCATATTTAATAATTTAAAACTAAATATTTAAAACTAAACTGAACTAAAACCAGGGAACTCTGGTAAGAATAAATATTTAACACTTGGGGTGGGCTTAGTCATTTGTTTGGGGGATGTTGATGTGATTTGAACAGTTAAACCCTTGACTAGGCAGTGTGCTTATGTACAGTCTTCTCTTTAAGCACGCACTAGTTCTGTCAAAGGTATTGAGACGACGACTCCTGCTTAAAGTTAAGCATGTGCATAGTGCTCTGCTGAATCGGCCAACAAACTCTGTAAAACGTGTTAAGTGTAAAAAAATACTTTTGCTGTTAGCACATTGCGTGACTGCTGCAAATACGGTATTTTATAGCTGGTATCTTCATGGTTTAGACATGAATTGAGAAGTTGCTTGGACCGTCTGTGTTGATTTTCTTAGTGCTGAATGCCCTGCTGTGCATTAACCGGGTCCCCACGAGGGGTGATGCGTTGATGTGCGCACACTCCCATGTGGCTGCATATCAAACAGTGAGATTTAATCAGTCGAATAATGATCAAACCTCATGAATAGCCAATAATAACAAATGGCATTTTTTCTTTAGCCCTGCAGTAAATTGTTCATTAAAACAAATATACATTGAAGATACTTCATAATTTGCTGTTTGTTTATTACGTAAAAATTAAAGTCCTGTTTTTAAACACAAGACTTGGATGATAGTGCTTGAAACATTCTCACAGCAAAGTGAATGGTACCAGCGTCTGAAATGAGACACTGAATACAGCACCACTGAGTGGATGAATTAGGCAGGAATCATGCAAGGATGCTGGGGTGGGGGGGTGATACGTGGATTCATTAATCAAATTTGGGGACAGTGGGGCAAAGTATTCAATTTCTCTGCAGTAGGAGTGAAGGTTATTGTTGCCTTGCTGATAGTTCAACTTTTTAATCAAAAACTTAACGAGATGGAAAGGTTCTGTTCAGCTCTGTGTTCCAGCACTTGGTTTTTGGATGCATTTTGTAAATGTCTTGAAAAGCTTTCTAGCTGCCAGCCTCTTCCAGCAAGCACTAGCTTCTCTGACTGAGGAATTACTTGGCTTCCTTATCCTTCTCTCACTGCCATTACACATTGAGCTGTCCTGTGCTGCTCTCTTCCTTGTTCAGCTTGAGCATCTTTTCATTTCTTTTTATCTCCTGGTACAGTCACTGAGCCATAGTTAGAAGCTTTTGCCCTTTGGAGTGGGGCTTTACTTGGACATGTGATATTCAGAAGCTGCAGATTAACAACACAATAACACAGCTTCTCTAATCCCATGTCGTTGTGTATCGCGGTATTGTAATTTAGCCACAGGTCTCATTCAGTCATGTGATCATGATACTGAAATTCACACCTTCTGGATGCATAAATATAACTTTGGGTACATCTACACTGCAAAAAACAAGCCACGGCAGTGAGTCTCCGAGCTCGGGTCAGCTGACTTGGGCTCACACTGCAGGGCTCAAAATCGCAATGGAGATATTCCCGCTGGGGCTGGAGTCCGGGCTCTGAGACCCTTCCCCCTTGCTGGGTTCCAGAGCCCGGGCTCCAGCCCGAGCGGGAATGTCGACACTGCTGTTTTTAGCCCCGTAGCACAAGCCTGAGTTAGTTTGAGCTGAGCTCGGAGACTCAATGCTGCAGGAATTTATTTTCTTTGTTTGAAGAGTTAGATGCACCCCCAAAAGACCACAGAGGGTAACGTGCTGTACAGGCCCGGTGTAGCCTAGAGAGTCCCTCTCATGGCCAGGGGCCATTCTCGCCCTTTAACACAGAGCTGCTGTCTGCCAAATCCCAATATGCCCTCTTAATCCAGGGAGGAGCTGCTTGGGCTAGGATCGAGCAGGACCTGTAGCTTTTTAGGCTGTATCTCCATTCAAGGGACAAGCAGTTGGTTCCATTTTAGACAAATTGGGCATGGCCCTGGCCAACTGCTGGTATGGGTCTTGGCTGGAGCAGTTTGGGAGCCCACTGCTTCATGTGACGGTTTCTCGCCTTAGGGGCTGTTAGGCTAGGAGAGGGTGGGAACGTCAACTGTGTTTTAATATGTACTTGGCCAACAGAGGTGGGAAAATGGGTATTTGGACAATGCAGCTGCTTCCGTCCCTGAAGTCCTCCCCACAGGAGTGACTTGCTGAAGTTACGGGGTGAAACGTATCCAGACAGCTGACATGCTCCCCCAAATAGTCTACATTTGTTTGGTGAGCGTGGGTGTCTCTACACTGGATGGTACACAGTATGATCGCAGCACGGGGAGGAATACCCAAATGCGAGCTCGACTCCTGGGTACGTCCTCAGCTTGTGTGCCCATCTTCACTGTTACCTTTAGCTGAGCTAGCTAGAATCAAGCTAGCCTGGTGTGCGAGCAATCACTTCTCTGGTAGCAGAGTAGACCTCCCCTTAGAGACTGCAGGATGTTTTAGGACCACAGGATGGGTTCGGGATGCTGATTCTTGACAGCTACGTTCAGGTGTGGCAAAACTTTGCAGCGCAGACCAGGCCTCAGTGCTGCTGTTACAGCTGTGGCTCCGATTGCATTTCTCCCTATGAATCTGCTTTGGATCATGTCTCTGGGCATCTCCTTTCTCATAGCAAATGGGATTTCCTTTTCCTACCTAGCTCCAAACCTCCTGGCCCTGTCGTCCTCTTTCTCTCTCTGTGGGCTCAGTGAAATTTCCCCCTCTCCTTCGATGCATTTTGCAGACCTGTTCCTTTCCTCGCCCCCCTCTTCCCATTTCTTTGATGTAGGTTTTAATTCAGTTAATTTTGTTGCTGACGTCCTTTTGCGCCCCACTGATTTCTCCACCTATAGAGAGAGAAGGGCAAGGATGATGAGCGCGGTGCACAAAATGGTGTCCCCCAAAGTGCAGGGCCTCAGTCATTGCTCGCTGAGCCCCCCATCCCCGAGGAGAGCCCGCTCCCAGACTTGCAGCCAGATGGTGATGCCAGTAAGTAGCCACTCATCAGCTTCCACCTTAGAGCTTATGCATCCACAAGAGAGGGGGGTTTGGCTATTGCGCAAGCCTTGGGCGTGGTGCAGGAGCCCTGTAAAGGCTCAGTATCGGCACGCTCAGCTGGATCGTGTGTGAGGGATGGTGATGGTAATGTAATAACCAGTGAAAGTAACTGAACATTGCGGGGGAGGTTCTTTTTACAGCTTCCCCTGCACACCTCTGCCACTGTGTTGCGGCCCCCTGCTAGTCCTAGACCGCTAGAAGATCAGGGTTGGAAGGGACCTCAGGAGGTCATCTAGTCCAACCCCCTGCTCAAAGTAGTTAGAGGGTGACCCAGATCCCTAAATGGCCTCCTCAAGGATTTGAACTCACAACCCTGGGTTTAGCAGGCCAATACTCAAATCACTGAGCTATCCCTGCCCCGGGTCCACCCGCCAAACTGCAGCCAATGTGCCATAGGGCTGACGGGCAGCACCCCGTGATGTTCTGGTCCTTCCTCCCCCTTTGAGTTTTGCCTATTTGCCTTAACCTACAGCAGCCCCTGCTGCTAGCCCCAAGACAAAGCTCCCAAAGGGGCAGTTGGGCCCCCTCCCCCCCCAGCTCACTTTGCTGTCAGCTGAACGCAGTGAATGAGAGCAGGTCTGTGGTGATGAAAAGCCAAAAGCATTAGCCCCTGTACTGCCGATCAGTTGTCTCTTGTCCCCTCCTCAGCATTGGGCATAGGGAACTCTGCTCCTTGCCCTGCTAGACCAGGGTTTGAGAAAGTCACTGCTCCATTGAAGTGAGGCCATAGCATGCGCACTGAGGCCCAGGTTCTGCCCTGGTTTTCCTGCAGGCACCTCCCTTTGCCCCTAGCGGCCCATCTGCCTGAGGGCCTTGGTCTGTTACTGGCAAGTGGTTCCTCCAGGCTTCACCCTGCTCCTTATCACAGGGCTGAAAATGGAAGAGAAGGTGTGCTCGGTCCTCCAGTCACCCGCTGCACCCCCTGGGATGGCCCGTGGGGACGGAGCACTAACTCCCCGTTCACCGTTTTTAAAAGCCAGCAAGAGCCTCTCACGTGGGCTTGACTGAACCGCTCTCCCCCCATGTCGGGGCTCACCCTGTGCCTCTTCTTTGTGCAGATCGAGTCTCACAAGCTGACCTTCCGCGAGAATGCCAAAGCCAAGACTGACCACGGAGCCGAAATAGTCTACAAGTCACCCACCGTCTCTGGAGATGCCTCCCCCCGTCGCCTTAGCAACGTCTCCTCCACTGGCAGTATCAACATGGTGGACTCCCCCCAGCTGGCCACGCTAGCTGACGAAGTGTCCGCTTCCCTGGCCAAGCAGGGCTTGTGATCGCCTGGCCGCGGGCGGAGAGAAGAGAAGAGAAATCAATCTGGCCTTCTTCCTCTGTTCCTTTTACAACTACTGCCCCCTCCCCCTGCCCCCCAAATGGGTAATGATTTAACCTACTTTCACTGTCCATTCAGCTCTGGCTCCAGGACTTCAAAATCAGTAACAGCATTAGATATAAACCCTCGCCTTCCCCAGGTGATCTTAGCCCAGTATAAAGGAACGTGATCACACCCACACAAAGGGAGTTTGGTTTCTGGAGAGGGTGGTGCTGCTTAAATTTAACTTAACTTCAAGGTACAAGGCTGTTTCCCCCAGCGCCATTTCAGCCAGACTGATCCCCAGCCCCCCAAGATACAGTGAGCCCGGCACCTCCCCACCTCTAACAACATCCCTGGTTGCTTTCCAGCACCCCCACCCACCCCCAGGCCACTGGTTTGCTTAAAACATGTTTCATTGTCCCAGCAATTTCCTGGGGGCAACCGCCCCCTGCTGGGGAGCATGAGGCACAGCCCTCACCATGGAAATGGAGTCATGACAATGGAAATCTCATGTTTGCAGTGTTGGTCCCAGGATATGAGAGAGACCAAGATGGGTGAGGTAAAAGCTTTTACTGGACCAGCTCTGGTTGGTGAGAGAGACAAGTTTTCGAGCTACACAGAACTCTTCTCTCCGGTCTGGGAAAGGTACTTGGTGTTACAGCTGAGTAACTGCGAGCACCTTTCCCGGACCTGAGGAAGAGCTCGGTATAGCTGGAAAATGTGTCTCTCCCACTGCCAGAAGCTGGTCTAGTAAAAGCTGTTACCTCACCCACTTGCCTCTCTGATGAAAATCTCAGACTAGTTAATACGATGTAGAAACCCAGAGACAGTATGGGAGGCCACCCACCTTCCTGGCCACTGACTTCTTGGGTTGGGATGTGACAGAAACACCCTTTTTTCTCCCCTGGAATTTGGCCCCGAAGCTACTTGGATTCCTGGTCACAGGCTGGGACCCAGGCTCCGACTGTCTCTCCTCTAATTAAAGGGCACCAGCCTTATTCCTTACACCCAGCAAAACTGACTTTCAGGTCCTGGGAGCCCACAGCTTCCCTACACGTGGTGCGAATGCCACACCCTGAAGGGTGTAGGTCTAGTAGCCACGGCAAACTCGCTGTTCTCAGAGCTGGTTGCTTTGTCTAGGCAAGGATCTCGACTGCTCTCTGGTTTCACTAACGTGTGGTTTTGGGGCTCCTCCTTTTAACTCATATTAATGACAACAACTGGTGACTCTTCTCCCAGGCTGTTCCTCTTACAAAAGGATTTCAGCCTTCAACCCGGGCCTCTAGGGGCAAGGCCTGCTCCCACCACTACTCTTCTCCTGGGCTGAGGGTTCTTACCCTGCTCAATTTTATGGCCTTGGGCATCTATCCAGTTCACCGCCCTCTTCCTCCTGTCCCGCTCCCACTCCTGCCAGCGTGTGTCCTGTGCACTGTGTGGTCTGGGGTGCAGGTAACCCCGGAGCACGGTCCCTCTGCAAGGCAACAACATGCTGTAAACACTGGGTGAGTGGGTTGGGGGACCTGCTGCAAGAAAGAGCAGAGTGCTGGGGCTATGCTGACCCATCTGAATTCCTAAGGAATATTGTGAGGACGGGGGGATGGCTGGAATTTGTTTCCCTCACTGCATACCTGTAGGCTTTCTGTTCCTCCCATGGTACGAGGCTACAGCCATGCTTGTCTGTGTCTGTCTGACTGATTGATGTGGGCTTGAATTCTGTGAGGCTGGCCGCACAGATTTCTCAACTTGTGTGTCAGTTTCTGAGAAGCTGCCCTAGCCGTGAGGCCGTTGCAGAGTGAAAGTTCTCTTGCCCTGAGCTGAATTAATAGAGGACTTTCATGTTCTGTGCTGTCTTCCAGTAGAAAAGGGAGTCTCTTGAGTTAGACACGTCTGGGACAGCTAAGAGCTGCGGGATTTGAATTCTCCATCTTGTTAGCATAACAATTACTAGAGTGAAGGCACGTTTCTGTGGTCAGAGCAGTGGATAGAGGGTGACAAAGCAGCAGACAGATGGAAAGAGCATCATTATTTCACCTCGCAATTTTGGAAGGAAATCTTTATGTCCAGGAGATAAGATGTGCCTGAAGATAGAAATTGGGCTTCCCTCTTCTTAAACCCAACTGCCTGCCCATAAATCCCTCCCTTACACCCCCAGGTGGCCCCTGCCTCTTTTAAGCTCCAAAAGCTGGCTCCATGCGGTGGTAATGATGACACTAGGGATTATCACTTCATTTAGCAAAGGGATGCTCTCGACGTGTATCCCTCCCGCCCTAGTTTTGTCGGAGTGGTGCATTTATGCTGGAGCTGTTGAGTAGATGAGTCTAGGATTTTTTCTTTGGCATACCCTAGTGTTGTATAGTGGGATTTGTCTGTATATGCTTGGAAATCACCAGGGTGATGATTGTTCTGTAAAAAGCATGTGTTGTAAAATTCAGTAGGTAGGTTTTGAACTGCCCCGTGCGCTCAGTACTGAGCTAGAATTCAGCCAAAGCGACTCTCGCTGCTGTTCGTTTAATCAGAAAAGAGTGAGAGCAAATCTGGCTAAGTCCAGAGACAAATGCAGTCAGCACTAACCCGGTAGCAGCTCATGATGGGAAATGTGTTTCCAGAAGCTGGAGGGTTCTGGCCCTATGAGCTGTGTATGTTTTCTGGGAATTTGGCCTGCAAAGGACAGAGAAGACTCTGGAAGTTCATCGCAGAAGGTGATTGCACTGCTTAGCTGCTGAAATTGTCCTGCTAGATAATTGGGTCACTGAGCCCAACCCTTCATCCTGTGCAGGACTAGGCTGTACATGTCCTCTGAGACTTTTTCCAGTCTTCATTAGATGCCCCCAGGTGATGAGGCTGCCTTGGCTTCATAGCCACTGCCCAGGAAAAGCTTTCCCAAAGCCAAGTGCTGTCGTGGCGATGGGAGTTCTGCAGGCCTGGTGATCACTTTTCTCTGGATCACATTTGAACCCTTGAGTGCTATAGATCCCAGCAGCATTTTAATGGACTTCAAACTTTAAAAAGGAGCAAAGCGGATCCCCTCCTGTTACACCCACTGAGCACTTGGTATTTTGTTGCTCAGCCTCCCAGTGATCTCTCGTAAGCACTTCCAGTCCCTGACACCCGTGTACTGCCCTCCTTTGCAGATGAGGAAAAGGAGGCAGGCCGGAGGAGTGATTTGCCCAAAGCGTCAGTCATTGAGCTGGGATTAGAATTTGGGGAGCCTAGGGCTCAAACCAGTAAAGCCTTTGATTTCACAGGAGCACTGTTTCCTCCGTTACCCAGTGACCCGCTGGTGGGAGAAGCAGAGGGCAGCTCTGTTGCGTCTTCTGAAGCTCCAGCTGCTAGTTCCCACCCTGTGTAATGTCCAGCTTGAGGCTGGGAGCAAGGCTCACTTCTGTGCCAGTGACTATGGGGACTGTGATCAAAGACCATTAAAGCTGACTCCCCAGGGCAGCCCATTGGCTGCGTAAGGCAGAAGACACTTTAATGTTTGGAAGTGGTGTGTTAGTCACATCCTGTGGCTCCACCATTAACCACCTCAGCTTCTCTGGGGTCTTTGTGAGCTTACCAGACCCCTCATGCCCCCCTGGTGTGAGTGCAGCTATTCGGGAGGTCAGAGGCCAGGGAGTGAGACACTCACTGCTAGACGTGGGGGTGGGGTGTCTGTGATACAGTAACTCCTCACTTAACCTTATGTTCCTGAAAAATGCAACTTAAAGCAAAATGATGTTAAGCGAATCCAGTTTTCCCATAAGAACTAATGTAAATAGGGGAACAAAAGACTGTGTGTGTAAGTTTTAAACAATTTATGATGATGAGTGTGAAGCTTGGTTGAGGTGGTGGGATATTTCCCAAGGAATGCCTTACTGCTAAATGATGAACTAGCAATTGGCTGAGCCCTCAAGGGTTAACTCGTTGTTAATGGAGCCTCACACTCTACAAGGCAGCAGGAATGGAGGGAGGGGAGAGACACACCCTGTGTGTGTGTGAGAGATGTGCATTGCCCCTTTAAGTAACTGACCCACTCTTAAGTACACTGCCTTGTTAAGTTAATCAGCAAGCTGAGATGGCAGCAGCTGCTGCCAGGAAGCTCCCTCTGTCCTGAGCCCTGTTGTGTCTCCCCTGCTCTACGGAGATGGGGTAAGCGGGTTGCCGGAGCAGGGGGACACCCTGACATTAGCCCCTTCTGCCCCCAGCAAGCAGGAGGCTCTGGAGAGCAGGTCCCAGGCAAAGGGCGGGTGCAGCACATGGGCGTTGGGGGAGGGAGAGCTGAACTGCTGGCAATTGATAGCCCAGGGCTGCTGCACAGGGAAGTGGGGAGCTGAGGGTCCACCCCGGTTCCAGGCCCCCAGCAGGCTGCTCTTCCTGCAAGCAGGCGGCTGCACAACTGTAAATGAGCACACTCCCCCCATCGATCGGGTTAAGCAGGACGCCTTTAAGGGAGGAGTTGCTGTACCATGTCCAGGCACTGGGCTTGGGGGCTGTGGGGTGAGAGGGCCACACGCACAGCTGGCAGGATGGGGCTGCCTGAAGGCGAGCTCAGGATTAAATGGCTGCCAGGAACTAGCGCGTTAGTCTGGGGGCAGCGTCTTCCCTGGAGAGAGGCTGATTTCGGAATTGTAAGGGGAAAAGAAAACTCCCGGAAGTTGGGTGGCTTCGTGGGGCTTTCAAGTGTAAATCGTGGGAAAGTAGGTGAGCTGCTCCAGGCCCTTCTGCCACCGTTGCACATGCCCCCCGTGGCCGAGCTGCGGAGAAGAGCCTTAAAGGAAAGCTGCCCTTCAAAATAAAAAGAGCGGAGCTGCCAGGGGAGCCCGGAAGTCCAGAGTTGCTTCGGGTTTGCACCATTCGAGCCCTTTGTTTTAGCCGCTTGTTTACGCAACCCTGAGTGCAAATTAAGGTTAAAACAAGAAACTATCCCTCTCTCGCTGCTTTAGTTGCTATGGCAACCTATTTGGACCAAGAAGGAGGTCACTGGCCTTGGCTGATGCTTGCCGGCCCTTGCCCGGCTGCGCATGCAGTTCCGCCTGGCACCTTTTGCCACACCGAAGAGGCTTCGATCTGCTTCTGAGCTAGCTTTCCTTCCCCAAGGGTGGGGCCTTCTGAGGAGGAGATGTCAGTGTTCGGGAAATCGGCGGGGGATACCCCCGCCCCGTTCCCCCACTGCCACAGCCTGGGCGTACCCAGCAAGGTACCTGGCTTGGGCCCCCGCCGTGCTCGGTGGCAGGACTTCAAACAGCCCGACCCTTTCACGGGCCTGCTGTTTTACTGTGTAGACCTGCGTCCAGCAGCCCTTTGCCAGTGCGAGTCGGAACGGCAGGGTGCCAGCAAGTCTGGCTTTGCTCGGGGGCCACGTTTGCAATAGGCTGCTCTGTTTTAGAGGCACAGGGCTATTGCTTCCTAGCTCGTAGTCCGGTAGCTTGTTTGCCTGGTTTGTTGCAACCTTATCTCCTGTATGATGAGCAGAGGCAGCCCTGAGTTTAGTATCAAACAGAGATCATCCCGCCCTCTACTAGCATCAGTCTCACCAGAGGTAAGGGCAGGATATGGAGCAGGCTGCTGCTCTTGTACCAAAACAACTGAGCAAGCAGGAGTCTGAGCCCTGGTGCAGCTGTTGGCTCTGGTGTATGGCCTAACCCCCTGAGGGAATGAGCTACTCCTAAAGCAGCTCAGTGGCAGGTACCAGGATGGGTAAACTGCATTCCAGCTGGCTGGGTGAAGGATGTTGCCACAGTGTTTTCCTTCTTATAATTACATTGACTGAGCTAAATTTCAGTTTTAGATGTTTAAGGGGGGAGGGATCGCTCAGCGGTTTGAGCATTGGCCTGCTAAAGCCAGGGTTGTGAGTTCAATACTTGAGGGGGGCCATTTAGGGATCTGGGGCAAAAATTGGGGATTGGTCCTGCTTTGAGCAGGGGGTTGGACTAGATGACCTCCTGAGGTCCTTTCCAACCCTGATAGTCTATAAGCTGTGAATCAGTTCAGCTGGTGTGGTGGGTGGCACAAATTCGAGCCTGGAGTTTCTAGCCCTGAGCAATGGTATGATTTCTCTAGGCTGCCAGTACAGCCAGCTGTCTCTGTTGCTCATTCTGATCAGTCCTTCAGGAACCAAGAGGAGTCTGGGGAGGTTGCCTGAAGGACTGGCTCAGCTTGGAAAGGGGAAAGGGAGATGCTAGCTGGGGTGTTGAGGGCAAGCAAGTCAGCCTGTTGGCCAACACTTATTTCCACTGGGATCTCCCCATTCGCTGTTTGCACTCAGTAGGCAACCAATGCTGTGGCTCGAATGCTTGCTGAGGATGGCAAGGGTCACACGCCAGCCTGCATTCACTGTCAATAGTTCCCCTTCAACGGACTCTATGATTGTCAGAGCCTGTCAAGTCTGTGATGATCTTTGTATCATTGTGGGATGATAGGAACCCTAGGATATTTCTGTCCTATGTAAATGAGCAACTGGGAGACCCAGTGAACAAATCAGTTCACCCATTTTAACCCTCTTCTGCTTCAGCCTGGGCACCTGCAGTGCTGTTAATCTAAAACTCTCCTTAGGCCACACTGTACGCAGTGGAAGTTGGCTAAGTCAGGGCTTGCTGCAGGCCCCTGCCACTTCCCAACACCAACACCGTTGCAGCCTGGCCTGGGCAGAGGTGCTTGGCTTTGGCAGAGTCAGCACCCAGTTATTTTATAATGTAGATAGCTGGAGTTCAGGAATGGGGGTTTTAGTTTTATTAACCCTTAGAACCCTGGCCTGAATGTCAGTTGTTGGAAGCTTACAGAGATCTGCGGCCTCAACCCCCTTCCCCGCTGTTCCAACTTCCCACAGTCAGTCCTCGAAGCTGCAGTCATTGCTGTGTCTAGAGCTTCTCTCCCTGACCTTTCCAGCCCCCTGCTATGCTTTACCCTCTCCAGATGGGTCCCAGCCCTTCATTGCAGCACCCAGACACTTATCTTCCAGCAAAGTAGCTAGGCCCAGTTCCCACCCTAACTCTCTATTCTCCAAGAGCCCAAGCCTGACCTCCCAGACCATAGAACATGGTCATTTTATAGACATCACCTACCTGGTCCTTAAGCCAAGGCCTGAGATTTACTGCTAAAGGATGGTTCTGTTCCTTTGCTACAACACCCATCTTGGTCTGAAAAGGGTTAAAACTGGTACTATAGAACCGTATTTCTGAATTGGGGGAAGGGATAGCTCAGTGGTTTGAGCATTGGCCTGCTAAACCCAGGGTTGTGAGTTCAATCCTTGAGGAGGCCATTTAGGGATCTGGGTCACCCTCTAACTACTTTGAGCAGGGGGTTGGACTAGATGACCTCCTGAGGTCCCTTCCAACCCTGGTATTCTATGAACTCCAAAAAATGCTCCCTGCAGGCATTTGAAGTGGCAAAAGGGCAATTCTGGTATTTGCAATCCTGTGATTCCCTTTTGAATTTTGCGGGGGGGATGGGGTAGGAGGGCTTAATCTCTGTATGATCATCCTAGCTTAGCTTCCTGTTTGTGACTGTCCCTAGTGTAGTGTGTGTTTTAACAACTGGTTTACACGGATCGTTGCTGTAAACGTGAATTTGGAAATAAAGTCATTACTACAACAAAATGCTGCCTTGGTGCCCCTGCTTGCGGGAGGGGATGGAAAGGGTGGGTCTGTTCACCCCTGTGGGAACACTGCTGGTCCTTTGGACAGCTACTACATACCCCCCCATGGGCAGAGCTGCCGTGGAATCAAACATTCCCTCCGAACAGGGCCACGCAGAACGTACTGTGCGAAATCTTCCACCACCCCATATAATGGGCACTGCAGCAAGTGTCGTTCACCTGCACCTACCCGAAGATAAGCCTTAAACTGTAGGCCATGTTAATCCAGTGCTGCCTAGGTGAGAAACAAGCACTTGCCAATGGTGTATGTTCGGTCTCTTAAGAACAAGACTTCATTTAACCTTTCAGGGCTCTGAGCACAGGAAAGGTTTTAGGATGGGAGAGAGCAAAAAACGACAGGCCAGGGCCTGTGAGATCTCATGGGATTTGGAGTCCTGGGCTCACAGACACTTTGCCACCTTCCCTTAGCTAGGCTGCTGTGGGCTGTGCTAGTCACAGCTTTGGGGTTTGGAAGGAATCCCCCCCCCCCCCCCCATGCCATGGGACTGCACACAGGTGGTTGGGGTTTTGGGGTTTTTTTAGCCTTCCTCAGAGAGAAACCTGGGGTTGGATTCTTGGCTAGGTGCCAGCCGGAATTCTTCACCTCCCAGCTGGAATTCTTCAACTCCCAGAGGTCAGCTTGGGCCTGTGAGAGTCCTTGAGTGGTGTCAACTTTTGGCAAGTGCCTACTGTAGAAACTCACTGATTCAGGCTCCAGATCTACAGCAGGCATACCAAGGACATCTTGTTACAAGATGGGGGCATACAAGAACCAGGGCCTGGGGAACCACCCCAGCCCCACGAAGGGCTGACTGGGGGTCAAGGTGTCCTCTAACCTCATCTGTCCCCTCTCCCCCATGGGTAAGTGGAGGTGCCCAGCAACCCTCCCCCTCATCATTGGCTCTTGCTGTGGGAGCCCCCCCAAGAATTGTGCAGGGCTTCTTAAAATAAAACCCATCCTCCTCCTACCCCAGGAGCACCATCACCAGGGTAACGTTCCTTTTTTGAAAGGGTCTGTGGCTACATAAAATGGCAACAAAAATGCCATTTTTTAACTTTTTCACTATGAGGGTGGTGAAACACTGGAATGCGTTACCTAGGGAGGTGGTAGAATCTCCTTCCTTAGAGGTTTTTAAGGTCAGGCTTGACAAAGCCCTGGCTGGGATGATTTAACTGGGAATTGGTCCTGCTTTGAGCAGGGGGTTGGACTAGATGACCTTCTGGGGTCCCTTCCAACCCTTATATTCTATGATTCTATGATTCTACATAGGACTTGAGGCTCTAGTCACTCATAGGCATCGCAGAATCCTCCCCTCTTGTCTGCTGCTCACAGTGCTCATGCCCTCTCCAGCCCAGTCAAGGTTTGGCCTCAAACGCCTGGGTTGAGATGTTTAGTCATAAGGATGGACAGATCATGCCATGTATACCTCAGTCAGGTAAGGCTTAGCTTGAACACACCTGCTGGAGAGCACAGGGAAGAACGAAGCAGCCAAGGAGGTTTTACTGGGGAGAGAAAGAGGAACGCATGGGGCTCAAACAGCTTCTGGACATGGCAACAGCAATATGACCTAATCTGCCATGGCTTTCTGCAGCTGCTGGAGCTCTCCACTGCCAATAATTGGGGCCCTCCTGAGGGAAAGTTCTTCCACAAAGGACACAGATATGGGGTGTGACAGGGTTGATCCAAAAGTGAGAAACACTTGGAAACAAATGTTTAAAAGGTGAACTGCAGAAGCAAACCATGCCCTATGCTGATTGCTCCTTTACCATAACAGCTGCGATCCCTCCCCACCCCCCACTTGCATTTGCTGCATGTTATTTTACCTTAGAAATAAGGGCCTCCAACCAAGCTGGATGTCCCTGCCTCTGGTGCAGGATTGGAGAGGAGAGTGACACCATCACTATGAAACCCGAGCTGCTAGAGTAGCTGCCTTTAGTTATTTCTGAGGGGTAGAGGTGAAAGGCAGCAATGTTACTGTGCAGTGAAGGCACCTGGGCACCCTCCAGTGCAGAAAGGGAAGATGGGACTTGCTCACCCACTTCTGTAAGTAAACACAGAACTTCAGAGCATCAGCAAGACAGCTAGAGCAAGGGCCCTGGGGTCAGGAACCCTAAATTCTATTCCTGGTTGTCATGCTGCTGAGCCCACGCCACCGGGCAGGTCACAAAAGGGGCTTGGCATCGCACACTCCATTTTTTAAATTTTTTTTAATCTTTTCTTTTTTTTTTTTATAAGCACATTTGTGCTTTGCAAACAGAATCAGGACATTAACAAAGATCAGCTTCTCAGAAGAAAAGCGTTTCTATAGAACAAGGACATTACACAGCTCAAAGCAGGAAAAGAAAAATATTTACAAAATACAAGGTGGTTTTTTTGTGGTTTTTTTATAATGCTAAAAGGGTTATTCAGAATTTTCAACCTTATAAATAGAAAAGCACTTATGCAAAGGGATATGGTAGCATTGGTTTTTTTTTTGTTTTTTTTTTTAAAGAAACGATGACAAATCCTTTAAACTAGAACAGAACCAAAGAACACTAGATAATGTTGAAAATTGTGAAAAAACCCCAACCATTAAGCAGTTTAGCTACTATTTCTTTACGATTACAAAATGGAAAAAAAAATTATGTCCTTTGTCTTTTTTTTCCTTTTTTGGTGATGTGATTATACATAAGACAGGCACAATGCTAACAACAGGACAGGGACCAACAGCCACACCGTCAGGGTCAGAAAACATTACAGATGGGAACGGTGTGTGGGATCCAGGAGTCTCTAGAGGAGGAGGGGCCAGCGGTGGTGCCATTTTAAAGTAAAATACCTGTCAAACTTTATGATCATCAGACCAAAAAGTCCTCAAAAATGAAACTGACTAAACATTTGTTTTCAAAATTTGTGTGGAAGTGGAGTTAAGCAGTGGTGAAAAACAAGTCCTGATCTTTTCCTAAGCAAGCAGCCAAGGCTCTACTGAGCTGGACTTCGAGCAGCACACGACACTTGCTTTTTCTTAGGACTTTTTTTTTTTTTTTTAAATAGATCAAACCAATTTAAGCGAAACAAACATTAGCGGCCTATGCACTGCAGCCTACAGACTTCACATGGTGAATTGCTGAGTCCTACTCCTGCCAGCTGAACACTCCTGGCATCTGCAGCTCATCATGCTCTCTAAGCACTGTAACAACAGAAGTGACATTCTGATGGCCAGCTGCTAACCTCGCCTGAAATTTTCTAATTGTGGTGGGTAAAAAACCACAAAGGCAAATTAAAGTGTTGGTGACAGAATCGCATTTCCTGTATCAAAGCGTGTACTGGTGCCAGCAGCAAGTCAGATCTCAGCAGGAGGAGTCCTGAAGGGTGCTGGATAAACTCTGCTCCTGCTGAAGCACCAGAACATGCTGGGCTGGACTCCCACTTCTCTGCCCCCCACCCAGTATAAAAACCACAGGGTGTGAACTGAACAAGACTGCTTCCCAAATCCCACTCTCCCACAGGGAGCTGTGCATTAAGCAGCTAATGAGGGGACCTTCTTTCCCCAAGTGACAGGAAGGCTTGTCCTCCATGAAGCCAACAGCTGCTCTAAAAGCAGGAGTGGAGAAAGGAAGAAATGAAGGGCAATGTAGCCTGGGGGAATCATGGAGAGAATACTTGGAACTACAACCTAGGGAACAAAATGACAGGGAGTGTGTGTGCAGGGACTGCAGATCTCAGCTCTGCACATGGGGAGAGACAGCTAGTGCGGGAGGTTGCATTCCAAAGACATCACTTTTCACCACTAATTTCACTCCACTAAAACTTTTCAGGGAGGAGGCAGCAGGCAACAGAGTGTAAGAGAAAAATACCCTTTCGCTTGAGAAAAAAATCCCCGAAGTCTGCTAGTCAGCTAAATCCTGTGCTCTAGAATCATACACCTAAGGGGGAGGGGCGGAAGGGTGTCTGGCAGGCTGCTCTCCTCCCGAGGCTTCACTCTGCTGGGAGGAAGCTGGGGTGCTCTTATTGTGTGACAAGGAAACATGGAAAAAAAAAACAAAACAAAAAAAACCCAAACAAACAAAAAAAAAAACAGTTTCTAAACTCCTTAAATTCACTAAAAACTGTGAAAATTCCCGGCAGGATGTTTGAATATCAAACGCAGATTTCGGAAGCTTTAATGCCAAGAGTTAGTTCTGTGTGTTGGTTTTGTTCATTCCTTCCTGTCCGTCTCTATCTGTGTGCTGGCCGCTGAACTGCTGTCGCTGCTGCTGAGGAGGCCACTGCTGGGTGCCGGCTCTTGGGGCTGGGGAGGGCAGGCAAGGGGAGGGCGCTGTCCATCTCCCGGGATGACTTGCTGCCTGATGTGCGACGGGTGCAGCGCGACAACCGGTCCTGGGGATCAGATTGGTCCTCGCACTCTGTCTTGGGGTTGTAGGAGAGCGGGAAGTAGCGTCGCTCCCAGGGCTGCACAGCCTGAAGGGGAACGAGAAGCGGAGCTGTTCACAGGGAGTGAATACAGACACATGCTCAGAGGCTCTGTCTGGGTAAACTCTATGTGGTTTAGGATATCCTCCCCCCCTCCCCCCGAGTCATCTTCCTGTTTCCCATTCATCCTTGACATATGGCAGCCCTAGCCAATGCTCTGTTTAAAGATGCTTCCCATATTGCGCAGGTTCAGCCATTAGCACAGGGAGGTTCCTCAAGGGACCAGGGCAAAGTCAACTCCCCCCCATGCTGGCACAGAGAGACCACAGCAGAGCCAGCACCCAGCTGTCAGAGGCCCCCTGTGACCCATGAAGCACCTGTACGCCTGTTTTTCTAGCAGGGTCAAGCAACCCACAGCCAGCCAGGACCACAACTAGATTAATTCCCACACATACCATGAAAAAAAAAAAAAAAAGTGACCTTTTATTGATGCAAATGGGAAGTATCATTGGATATTAGCCCCCCCTTACACATTAAATGGGTCTCATGGACCAAGGAAGGTCTCAATTCAG